AATTAATATTATACTTGATTAGAGACTGCATATTTTCCTTTAAGACCAGGAATAAAATAGAGATGTCTACCCTTAACAATAACATTCAGTATTGTACTACAAATACTAGCCAATACAGTTAGATAAGAAAAATTAATAATAAAAAGCAATCCAGACTAAAGGAGAAGTAAAACAGTCCTTATTATATGTGGCATAATCTTTATATAAACAGTCTGAAGCAATATTAAAACTTTATAATAAAGGAGTTGTCAGATAACAAGATCAGTGTATCAAAATGTGCTACTCTTCCACATACTAGTATTTTAACTAAATTTTCAGATGAAGAATTTCAAGTTGAAAACTAAAATTTTAAGAATAGAATTTGCAACTTCAGAAAAATATGTCAGGCTTCAAGACAAATCTGACAGACATGGAAAAACTGAATCCTGAAAACTACAAAATAGTTCTGAGCAAAATTAAAGAATACATAAATAATGAGAAGACATACTCTGTTCATGTTTCAAAACCTCAGTGTTACGATGTCAATTCCCCATCAGTTGGTTACTTTTGGAATCCCAGCCCTGGAGAGATGGAGACAGGAAGATCAGGAATTCACAGTCACCTCTGGTACCATAGTGAGTTTGAGGCTAGTCTGAAAATAAATAAATAAATAAATACAATCTTAATGAACATTCTAATAAAATGGGGAAGGGAGGTACAAACTCAGGAGAAAGGCAGAACCATCTAGAAAAGATGTATCTGAAAACTGGAACTCAAATTTGTCTCTTGGGCCAGGCATGGTGGTTCACGCACGCACACTTTTAATCCCAGCACTCACAAGGCAGAGAAAGGTGGATCTCTGTGAGTTTGTGACCAGCCTGGGCTATACAGGGTGTTCCAGGTCAGCCTGGCTACATAGTGAGACCTTGTCAAAACAAACAAACCAAAACCAAATGTATTTCCCATGGTGGCAAGATGGCTCAGCAGTTACGCATTTGCTGTGCAAACCTAGGGACCTGAGCTGGATTCCACTTCATTAAAGCTTACTGAACTTACATAAAAGTGGAACCAATTCAACAAAGTTGTCCTCTGACGTCTACACACACACACACACACACACACACACCCATGCATACAGTCATCTAAAATTTTAAAAAGAAAACAAACCAACCCTAAACCAAGACTTTTGGGGGCTACAGAGACAGTTCAGAGGGTAAAAATGTTGCCTATGCAAGCAGATGACACACGTGAGTCTCCAGCACCCACATAAAAGCTGGGCATGGCCTTGCACACTTGTACCCCAGCACTAGGTAAGAGAAGTTCCTGGGCAGTCAGTCCAGCTGAAACTGAGCTTCAGGGTCAGTGAGAGGCCCTGTCTCTGTCTCAAAAAATAAGGCAGAGAGTGATAGGCGGAGACACTGAAGGCCTTCCTCGGGCTTCTCTATTCATGTGTGCATGCAAATGCACCTGCACACATGGGTGTGCATGCACCACACACACACACACACACCATGAGAAACTGTCAATCCATTTGTTCCTACACATCTGAATTTTACTTTTTCGCATTTCCTCATGACTCAGAGGAAAATACTAATTTTCTAATATTAGTTACCCAAAAACAAGTAGTTGAATAAAGCTAAGGGCCTCTGTAATTACAGATAATTTCTTTGTTTTAGACCAGGTCTCACTATGTAGCCAGGCTGACCTCAAACTCAAGATCCTCTTGCCTCAGTTTCCCAACTGCTAGGATTACATCATACCCTACTCTGGATAAATAATTTAATGTAATAGATTAGCTTTTAAAACAATATTTATTTTATGTATGAGTACTCTATCTGCATGTATGTCCTTATGCCAAAGAGGGCATCAGATTCCACTATAGATGGTTGTGAGCCACCATGTGGTTGCTGAGACTTGAACTCAGAACCTCTGGAAGAGCAGTCAGTGCTCTTAACCAATGAACAAACTCTCCAGCCCCTAGATTAGCTGTTAGATTTTTAATAACAACCAAGTTATCACATTGCTTAACATCTATTTAAGATACAATACTTATATACCCAGCTTGGCCCAATTATTATATTATATAATATACCACTGTATTTTGTGTAAGTAGAAATTAACATTTTTAAATAAAACAAAGCTCATAGAAGTTTTTCCGGTTATACTTGCCAGTTTTAAGGTGAAACAATTTGACCCAAGATACAGAATTACAAGCCAGGTGTGGTTTTGCACACCTGTAATCTTAGCATCTAGGAGGCTGAGGGGGAGCCCTGAGATTAAGACCAGCCTGGCCTGGTGAAGCCTTGCCTCCCTATTCCCCCTCCAAAAATAAACAAACCAACAAACAAACGAGTTCTACTTGCTAGTAAGAGTTTCTTATCTGTTTGAAAACAAACTTTAGGGTTAATGAAGCCAGCCTCTCTCACAGACACGGAGGCCTGCTGTACCTTCTCTGGTGCTTTTTCCAAACTCCTAAGGCCCAGCCTCTCTGCCGTTGCACGAACGCCATACCTTTCTCCACAACCGGCTCAAAACAACGTCTCCTTTTGTTTACTGGTTTCACTGGCAGGCTTGTCTGCGTCCTGCCTCCCCATTTTCTTGGTCATCAGAACATTATTTCTGATTAGTCAGTAGGCAGAAGAACTTCATGGATCTTCGTTGTCACCAGTCCCTTGTTTTTTTCACTTAGTCAGAAGACATACTTCACAGTGTGAACTGCTTCTACGGTGGCTCAGTGGCTTTTGAAAAAAAGGAACTTTTACATTTTAGAGTAGTCACCGTGTTCTAGATCAATGAATTGTGCTTTGGAAGAAAAGTGTTGAAATGATTAATTTTATTTAATCAAGCTTTTGTTTTGTTTTGTTTTTTCGAGACAGGGTTTCTCTGTGTAGCTTTGCGCCTTTTCTGGAACTCACTTGGTAGCCCAGGCTGGTCTCGAACTCACAGAGATCCGCCTGGCTCTGCCTCCCGAGTGCTGGGATTAAAGGCGTGCGCCACCACCGCCCGGCTTAATCAAGTTTTTATAGAGGGGCCATGGTTATAGAATCCAATGTACTGTGTTTTTAAAAACATGTAAGAAACTGAATATATTTAAAGTGTACAATTTGTTACATTTCACTATTTTACTATTTTCCCATAAAACTATCACCAGTTGAGATAGTGAGCATGCCCATCGTCCCCAAGTTCTCCTCTGTCCCTGTGCACACCTTCCTGACTCCACTCAATCAACTATTGATGGCTTTGATCACTAGACTTTACATTTTCTACAGTTTCACATAAATGCAATCATATACCATTACCCCAGTTTTTTTAAAGACAGGACCTCATCCAGACTGTCATCCTTGCACTAGACACAAAGATGATCCTGAGCTCTGGATCCCCAAGACTCCATCTCTCAAATGCTACAATTACAGGCACATTCCATTTGGATTTTACTAATAATCTAAAAAATGATGAAAGCCAAAGAATGGTTATCTTAGAAAAAATTTAATCACATTTATTTGTGTGTGCACACGCATATACATATGGTATGGCACACATGTGGAGGTTCAAAGACAACTTGTGGAAATCGGTTCTCTCCTTCCACCATGTTGGGCCTAGGGACCAAATTCAGTTCATCAGCCTTGGCTATAAGGGAGGGCCTTTACTCACTGAGTCATCTTGCTTGTTCACAGTTACTGCTAAGATTCATTTTTCTTTCTTTTTGTTGATGCTGGGGATCACACCTAAGGCCTTGTATATGGCAGGCAAACTCTCTACCACTGTTATATTATAGCTGCTACCTTAAAAAACAGTAAGAAATGAAAGCAAACTGAAGTTCAAATGTGTTTATATGTTGCATTCATGTTTGGGTAGTTGACTTTTGGGTTTATTTCCGAGACAGGGTTTCTCTGTGTAGTCCCGATATCCTCAGACTCACTATGTAGACCAAGCTGGCCTTGAACTCAAAGGGATCCTCCTGCCTCTCCCTCCCAGGTGCTGGAATTAAAGGCGAGTGTCACCATGCCCAGCCTTATGTATGGGTGTTCATATGGATGCGCATCAGTCTATGCACATGTAAGCCTGAGATCCACCTTGAGTGCTGTTCCCCAGGAACCATCTCTGTGTTTTTTAGAGACAGTCATTCACTGCCATGGTGTTCACTAAGTAGGTACAGTGGCTGGTGAGTGGGACATAGGGCCCACCTGCCTCTGTGTCCCCAGTGCTGGGATTAAAGGCATATGCCACTGCATCTGGCTTTTTAAGTGTCTTCCCACTTGTAAAGTAAGCCCTTTATCAAGTGTGCTATCTTCCAGCTCACCTGACAAGGGTATTTTCTTAAGTAAAGATAAAACAAAATAAAATAATCTAACAATACCTAGATAATTAAACTAAACATGGCTTTTGTTGGTTTTGTTTTCATCCAGGCAGGGTTGTGCTAGGTCGTGCTATGCTGCCCAGGATACTCTTGAGCTCCTGAGATCAAGAAATTCTCCTGCCTCAGCATCCTAAGTAGCTGGAACTATTGGCATGTGTCACTATGCTTGGTTAAATTACTTAGCAGATTATCTCATAATCTGTAATGTTGGGGTGTTAAATCTATTGATCTCTTAGGACTAAGATCCTAGACTAATCTTTTAATTTCACCCTGTTCATAGTAAAATATACATAAAAAGGTTTTGATTTTAATTTCATTTGAAAAAACTGTCTGGAAATTAAGTACTTTTATAATGTACAAGTTTTATTATGTATGTTTCCCATATATTCCAAATATAAGAACTACAAGTTAGGGCTGGTGATGCAGCTCGGTTGGCAGACAGCTTGCCTAGAAAGCATGAAGCCTTGGGTTCAAACCTCAGCACTACATAAACCAGGCGTGGGAGAACAGGCCTGTGAGCCCCCAACTGAAGAGGTGGAAACGGAAGATCGGAAGTTCAAGGCCATCCTTGGCTACACAGCGAGTTTGAAGCTAGCCTGGGACACAAGAAAATCTGTCTTCAAAACAAGAAATGACCAGAAGAGAAGACACATAACACAAGCTATCCAGGTGTTTTAAAATCCAAGGCTTTAATTCAGCTTTTGGTAATGACCATAAATGCCTCCACAAAACCTCTTTTCCACTGTAAATAGAAGGCACTAGGCATTACATAACACTCTAAAAGCACTGATTCCTTCTTATGCTGGTGGAGATAACACATTAAATGGCAGGGTTTGAATACTAAACTCTAAAAAAAAAAGACAATTCTGAAAATCACATGAAAAATTAAGTTCCCATTGAGTCTTTCTTGGGTTTCCAATGCAACCTTAAGATATTCTTGCAGGTACATAATTTGAAGTTAAACAGATAAAGTAGGTGAGTATGATTTGGTTTTTAACATGTGTTAAGTTTCTGTTATATGTGGTAAATGTAAAGACAGCATTATTATGCTAATTGATATTTCATGGTATTCTTTAGGTGTGCAAAATAAATTTCAAGTGATATATCCCACAGAAGTATATTTCAAAACATACTTGATATAACACTAATGACTTTCATATTCATGTCACAAACTGTATATAAATTGTGAAATTATTAAAATACATTGTTCTGAAAAATAATAAGATGACCATTTCTACCTAAATAAAGTTTCCCAGAAAGTTATGCAGTACATTAGCATAAAAAAGTAGTTGCCCTTTTTCTGAAAGGTCAGTATTGTTTCACAAAATAACCCATACAATCCACACAAATGATTCGTCCAAATGCCCTATTCTTTCTATGACAGTGGTATGTTTCAAGAGACTGTATCCATGATTAAAGGGCACACTTGGCTGTGAGACCACAGTCACGAGCACAAGGAACCATCTTAGATCAGGAATGCCCTTTACCATCAATAGAGAACAAGAGATGGCTTCTGAAGCCATCTTTGAAAAACACATACACCTAATTTGGGCTGTTTGGAGGGTACTTAAGACACAGCTATTTACATATGTGCTACTTCCTGTGTGCCTATCTGAACAGTGGCTTCTGCAGACACTCCCATTTAAACACAACCAAAAAATCTTAACACATCAAATAATACTATTCTACTTTTGGCAAGGTAGTATAAACAAAACAAACAAACAAACAAAACTATAATTTTGATTTAGATAAAAGTTCCCATATCAAACCAACAGCAAGAAAAGTATTCTGAAAATCATTAATTTAGGGGAAATAGTATCACCCAACAAATAATGTTGAAAATTAAACTTAAAATCCTCAAATAATTATTACATGAATGGCTTATGAATACTTTTGACATAAAACTAATTATTAAAAACCAGCTGACTATGACGTTCATAGTAAGAATGTCTTCCAAAGACATTTAAACTAATTAATTTACAGGCCCAGTTAGTAAAAGGGAAGAGGAAGATCAACTCTTCCATAAGCAAAACTACATATGCCTCCTTCCTCTGGAGAAACTCATAAAACCTAATTTTGAAAAAGGTAAAAAAAAAAACAGTGAAATGAGAACCCACATGATAATTTAAAACACCTGTCAATAAACATGAGGAGCAACAAAAAACACTTTTGAGCAAATCTTGACATAATTAAAAAGTTGTGTATCATAATTTAAAAAAGGAAAAGCTTTATAATTAGCAGCTGGACCCTGTGAAACATATAGGACAATGGAAGGCACTACATAAGCCTCAGTTCTATCAACTAGAGTTGGAAAATTCAGTCTTTCCTTCTTAAGAAGACAGCCAGTGTGAACGTGATTTTCCTATCCCCTGAGTTTCAACACGATTGGGCAAAGCAGCACCAATTTAAAAAATACCTGCAATGCCAGCACTGCAGTTTGGAGTCACTTAACTGACGGCCCACAGGTCTCTCCTAAGAGCACTTCAGAACGTGATTAAAAATAGGGAAATGTCTCTTGGAATTGCAGTATCGTGGAACCACCACAGAATGTACTAAAAATGTCTTTCTACAGCTCAGTCTTTCCACCTGTATCTAGCAATTGCTGCTGTTTTCCATGTTACTGCCACTCAGACAGCTTCTTTGTGCGTCTGGAGGAAATGTCAGTTTGCTTCATGGTGTACAGTCCTTTTGGGCTGGAAACCTTGTATCATGTCATGCCAGTCTTGAGCAGTATGCCTTGCAGGTCCTCTGGCAATGCTAAGATAATTGCATCTATATGTGTCCGTAACTTTGCCACAGTGTCTGGTTTCACAGGTAAATTCTCTCGGTCAGCCTGCAACTGCATAAAGAATAGTTTAAGTAAATTTGTATTAATGCATTGTGCTTACTATATAAACACATTTTTTATATCCTGATATCTTGAAACTTTAGGTCTTAGTCTAGAATGTACAGAAAACAAAACTGTAGAGATATTCCACTAAGTGGGGAAGAGGGTGTCAAGGGACCTCGATAGAAGGTTAGTCTATAAATTCACAAATGGTGCCTGAGGATATCATACGGCATAAAATGTAAGGGAGATGATGGTTTTATAGCATTCAAAAGATTCCATTGTAAGTATCTTTAGAGGGGCTGGAAAGACAGCTCAGCAGTTAAGGGTACTGGCTGTTCTTGTACAAGACATGGGTTCCATTCCCAGCACATAGTTTCACTGTTCCAATGATGGGGTGCCCTCCTCTGGCCTCCGCAGGCACTGCATGCATATGGTGCACTTAGTAAGTACAGGTCAAACACCTATAAGTAATTTTTTAAATTATTTAAATAGCTTTAGAATAATTTGAAATCACTGTGATGAGAATAGTTTGAAATCACTGTGATCTGTTTGAATGATCAAATACTTCTAGTGAGATCTACCATACTGTCCAATCTCAAATCTTTTCTAAAAAGTTACCTCTGTAGTACATAGTAAGAGTCAGCTCAGATGAGAAAAACATTTTCACAAAAGGTCCATTGTATATTATTATATCTTCATCTCTTTAGTTACATACCAACTTATTTTTAAGCTTCAACACAAGGTCTACTGTTTCTACTTCTGTATGTTTCTGGATCCAGAGAAGGAGGTCCTAGACAGTAAGAAAATTCCAAATTGGTACATACTCAAACAATACTCAAGCCTCTCTGTCTCAACCAGTGAGACCAGTGGAAAGGAAGGACAAGATGGGAAGACAGGACATACAACTCCAACACAGCAGGACAGTGCAAAGGGAATTTTCACGAAAATCTCAAAACTGCCAAGGAGATCATTTTTAACATTAGCCAAAACAATTGTAAACAAAACTTAAGAAAACTCCTTTCTGAGGTGGCCCTTTGTCAAGAGGGAAAAACAAAACAGCAGCTCAATGCAATAAATACTAATCTTTCTTTATTATAAGAGTAATTTATAAGGAATTTTTAGCTAACAAGTCAAGATAACCAAATGTGAATACATTACTCTATATAAATTTTGTATCTTCGAATAAAATTTTCATAGGGCTTCCTTGTGGCTGCTCTCATCACGGCATTTGTCTAAAAGCCACAGTCACTAGGAGTTTATGATTAGGAAAGCTAACACTGGGACCAGCCCACCTCAACATTTAAAGTGAAATACAACAGAAAGTAAGACTGTATCATCTCAAGAAGCTTCCTTTGAAGTAGGCTGGTGTGAGTTACAGGTATAAAATGCAGCCCAACCACGTCAACAAAACTGTCAGCACTAACTGGAGATGGTGACTAAGTCACACTGGAAACAGCTGGAGCCACACAGCAGGGGCGGGAGTCCTGATCCCAGGTGCACTCTGCTTTATAGATTTGCCAATTTCTGTGGTATAATACTCCCACTGCAGGTGACTTCATGCTACTAACTGAGGTCTGAACACAGAACTGGGAAGAGAGGTACACAATTAGTTCATGGAGACCAAAAAGCAGACCACAGCACTCCATGGCTTCACAACTTGGGGTGGTGCAAACTGAGGCAAGCTCACTAAATCCTAAACCACAGTTGCAGCATAATGTAGATCACAACACCCCCACCTCAAGGAATTTTTGTGATAATTAAGAGAGTCCTGACTCACAGGACAAGATATGAGCACGTTAGCTATGAGTACTATTTATAATAATAAAGTGGGGCTTGGTGGATAAAGGCATTACTGCCAAGCCAGACACCCTAGTTTAGACCTGGGACCCTCATGGTAGGAGAGAGCTGATTCATGAAAGCTGTCCTCTGACCTCCACACTCACACTATAACATGTACACACACACACACACACACACACACACACACACACGCACACGCACACGCACACGCACACGCACACACACACACACGCACACGCACAGGCACACACACAATAAGTAAATGTAATCAAGTGGATTCTAAGTATTGTTTTCAACCTCTAAATTAACACTTGCATCACACTAACACACTGTTTTCTAACCTCTTCACAAAGAGCTTCTAGATGAAGTGCCTCCAATTTTTGGGTCATTTCTTTCCGACGGGTCTTGAACCAGCCATCAAAATTAGGAGACTTTAGAAACTGCCTACAAAAATAAATTTTAAAAAAGGCAAAGTTTGGTTAATATTTCTTCTTTTAAAAACCCCTCTTAAAAACAAGACAACAAACAAATAAAACAAAAAATAAATAAACCTACCCAAGGTCTCAAGTAACCCAGGCTAGCCTCAAACTTGCTATGAAGGTGAGGATGACATTTAACTCTGGATCCTCTTGACTCTCCCTCCCAAGTGTTTGGATTACAATGTGCCATACCATGCTAGCCTTTCACTCCTTTCTTATAGTTCAGAGATACATGCTACATGAATTATCTAGGTTTTACAACTAGTTTTTAAGTAAAGATTCACAGTTAGGTGGAAAATAAGTAAAGTGATTAACCGGTAAAGTCCAATCCAATCGCCCTTGATTCCAGATGTGAGCTGAGGCCCCGTTTTTTCAAGTGTTTTCATAAATTCTTCTGGAAGGAACTGTCTTAACTGGGGTGGACTCTAGAAAACAAGGCATACTATGTTTAGAGATAAGGAACTGCTCTATTCAAAGAAGGTAACTATAGCTAGACAGCTCAAAGAGGAAAGCACTTGACTAGCACATACCTTCCACGGAGAAATACTTTTCTGCAAAGGCATCAAGCTTGCCACATATCTTTCCTAAAGCCAAAATAAATAAATAAATAAATAGATAGATAGATAGACAGACAGACAGACAAATGAATGAATGAATGAATGAATGTTAGTTCTTACAGTCTTACTTAAGGGTCTTACATTTTAATAAAATGGTTTTCTAAGTCATACTAGGACGGACACACACACACACTTTTTTTTTCACCCAGTTTCTGGCTTATAACTCCCTACTATAGATAGTTCATAAAAACTAGAATTTCTCTTCCCCACAGTAGGTTACAAAAACCTCATCTTCCCTGGCCTTGCTGACCATGACTTCTCTACTCTAGCTTGTCTAGAAGGAGTGGTTAAGACCTCCAGTTCAGAAAGAGTCTCAATCACACCTGCAAGGAAAGGATCTGACAGACAGGCTTTGCTGATGGTCACCACCCAGCCTGATAGCATCCGACCAGAACATGCACTCTTTGTGCCAATAACATCTGGACACAGATACATGCTTCAATCATGCTTATGCAATGAAGTCTCTGTAGCAATCTAAAGGACATGGGCTAAAGAGTTTCAAGATAGCAGAATACATGACATTTATAGTGGGTGGCACATTCAAAGACATCATGCAAGTTCTATGTCTATTCCTCCATACCCTATCCCATCCATCCATCCATCCATCCATCCGTCCGTCCGTCCATCCATCCATCCATCTATCTATCTATCTACCTATCTATCTATCTATCTGTACTTTGTAATGTTTTGTATAATACACCAACTAACATCAATGTTTTCCTGAGTCACTCAAGTAAATGAGTAGATTCCGAAGAAGGGATTATAGGATTTACAGTGGATCAGTACTAAGCACAGACTGGAGCTTGGGATTGGCATCTAACATGGAGCAGGGCAAACTCAAGAATCCAGCCCTCAGGATGTGGCATCTGAAGCGATCGCCAGGTATAGTGTCAGAATTGAATTTGAGGACACCTTGCTGGTATCTACTGCAGAACTGACTGCTTGCTTGGTAGTGAGGTAATAAACTGCATACCTCATGGAGTCACAGAAGTGATAGATCTTGTGAGTATATAGAAAGAAAAAGTGATCCACAGTGGTTTTTTAAAAAATATTTTTAAGTTATTACATTCATTTATTTACTGTGTGTGTGTGTTTCTCTTGGCACATGTGCATGCAAGTGCACATGCATACGCAGGGCATGTATGTGGAAGTAAGCACTCTTCCCTTCTATCATGCAGATCTCAGGGATCCAGGATGGAACTCAGATTGTGAGGCTTGGCAGCAAGTGCCTTTCCTCAGTGAGCACCTTGACAAGCTGAATCTGAATTATTTCATCATGTTCCTTCAATGATTTCACCATTTCCTACAAAAGACTGCTCCAGTTAAACTGACTTGGAAAGTCATGTTTCAACAAAATTTAACTAAGACTTGGATACTCAAAACAGATTACTTTTCCTTTGTTCCAAGATTGGTGGCTTGCTGTACTGCACAAGCTGATTTTGAACTCATGGGCTCAAGTGATCTTCCACCTTAGCTTCCCAAGTAACTGAGACATGACACTGTGTTCAGTTCATATCTTCACTTGTTTAAAATTATTTATGTGTGAGTGCATGATCTATATGGGCTTGTGTGCCACAGCACACACATGGAGGTCAGAGGACAACTTTGTGGGTTGGTTCTCCCCTTCCACCTTTACATGTGACCGAACAAGTTGCCAGGCTTGTGCAGCAAATGCTTCTCCTTCTGAGCTCTCTCACCAGCCCTTGTTTGGTTTGTTCAAACAGGGTCTTGCTATGTACTCCTGGCTATCCTTGAAATCATGATCTTCCTGCCCCCACGCCAATGGTTGGAATTACAAGACTATGCTATTCTATCTGGCTCTAAACTCAGATATATATATATATATTTTTTTTTTTTTTGGTTTTTTCGAGACAGGGTTTCTCTGTGTAGCTTTGCGCCTTTTCCTGGAACTCACTTGGTAGCCCAGGCTGGCCTCGAACTCACAGAGATCCGCCTGGCTCTGCCTCCCGAGTGCTGGGATTAAAGGCGTGCGCCACCACCGCCCGGCTCAGATATATTTTTAAGGTTTATTTTTTATTTATGTGTGTGTGCAGGCACATGCACATTCATACTCATGGACACCAGAAGCTGGTGTTAAATGCCCTCAAGTTAGAATTACAGGAGGTTCTGAGCCCCTGGAAATGGGTGCTGGAACAGGTATCGGGTCCTCTCTGCAAGAGCAGCAAGTTCCCCTAACTGCAGAGCCATCTCTCCAGCCCCTTATATTTGAATGACAATAGTTAACTGTGTTGACTAACTATGTCAGAAAATATACTTAACACTTTAAATGCTTCATCTCTGGTAATCCTTGAAAACACGATTTGTGAAAGTAACTACTGGGAAACTGAAGGTTCAAAAAGCTAAACAGCCTGACCAGACTCATTTGAACTTGAATTCAGATACACTTGATGTTCTCTCACTTTTCTTTCTTTCTTTTACTGTTGCTATTTATTTAAATATTTTTAAGATTATAATTACATCCCTTTTATCCTTCCAAACCTTCCATATAACCACAAGCCCACTGTCTCTCACACTCATGGCCTCTTGAACTGTTGTCGTGTGTGTGTGTGTGTGTGTGTGTGTGTGTGTGTGTGTGTGTGGTCTCTCACATACATAAATATAACCTGCTCTGCCTGTATAATGTTACTTGTCTGGGTGTTTTCAGGGCTGACCCTTTGGTATTGGATAGTCAATGGTGAGCTCTTTCTGGGGAAGGCTTTCTCCCACTCTCAGCCTTTCTTAGTTGGCTGGAGTTTCTGTCTGGGTCGAAGCCTCAGGGACTTTCCCCTTCTATGTGAGCATGCCTGTTGTTGTCATCACCGCTCAGCTCATGTGTCGGCAGCCATGGTGGTGAGACTTCATGGGTGCAGCTTCTGACATTTCTAAGATACAATCTCACAGAAAACTTCCTGTTTCTCTGGATCTTACAAACATCCCATTCCCTTTTCCACAATAACCCCTAAGCCCTCAGTGTAGGAACTGTGCTGTGGATTATCAGTTGGAACTGGACTCTAAAACTCTGCATTTTGATTGGTTTTGTTGTTTTTGAGATAGCATCTAACCCACAGCCCTGGCTGGCTTTCAGCTTGTGACAGCCCTTCTGCTTCGGCGTCCTGAGTGCTGGGACCACAGGAGTGAGTGACCAGGCTCAGCTCAGTCTGTGCTCTTGTGTACCAAAAAAAGTTGATCTAAAGTTAAACAAGCTGTCTCATTTGTTTGATTCCAGGCATCAAATCCAAGGTCTCACCACCAATTCTTATTGTACCACTGAATTATATCCCCAACACAACACAGGTTTAAATGAATCAAAATTCCATCCCCAAATGAAGAAAGAATACTTTTTTCTAAAATGAACAACAAAGATCTTCAGGTTGCTTTTGTATCTTCATAGATTCTGTTAATAATGACATAAAAGCAATGATACAATCTCCGGACCAAGCTATTGTGATACTGCCTATATGTCAGTCCACTAAATTCCTTAGAATGGCTGTATTAGTCATTTACTCAATAAATAGTTAAAAGTCTACCCTACATCAGACTGCGGGAGTGCTAAGGAACAAGATACACATAGTTCCCTTTATCATAGAGTTACATAGCTTCTTGGATGTGGTATCAAATTCTGTTCAAGAAAACAGTATCAGCCAGACATGGTGGCACATGTCTTTAATCCCACAACTTGAGAGGCAGGAGCAGATCTCTGTGAGTTGGAGGCCATCCTGATCTATACAGTGATTTCTAGGCAGCCAAGACTACATAGTGAGACGCTATCTCAAACAAAACAACAAACAAACAAACAAAAAACCGTATTAGAAGAAGAAACTCCAAGGTGACCTTTTCAAGTACAAAATGCAGGCATTATATAAAATCTCACAACAGACTAGTTCAGTAGATGTGTGCACCAGGACTATGTACTCCCTGGGCCGACTTGGGCCAAAGCACAGCACACTGCCTGCGCTAACCCTGACCAGGCAGAGGCAGCCACCCCGGGGTCCCTGTCATAGAGCGGCCTGTGCGCCAACTTGCAGGATTGCCGACATACTTCAGCAACACGGGAAACAGGAACTTAGCTCCAGCCTTGGTTTTTATTTATAAGGGTGATGGAGAAAAAGACTTCCAGGTGCTTAGTATGAATCTGAATCTAGAAGTGCCACAAGCTCCCACTATAGCAGATTCCTCACTCCCTCCTGAAACAGATCCCCACATCACTGGAGCAGATAAGAGCTCCTAGTCTGAGGAAGATGGTATTTAAGAGAAGGGAAGAAGCTGAAAAGCATCATGAAGGAAAACAAAAATTAGATATGGGATTTGTTGAATCATCCAGAAAATATCCTCCCCCACCCCACTCAAGAAGTTCCTCCTGAAAAACCCAATGACTACAGCTCCTCTCAATATGAGAAACAGCAGTACTATGGTGGAAGGGGCATTTTCTCGGCAGCTTTTCTGGGTATTTCGTCCTCTTTGCTGCATCTGACACCCTCCACTGGCCATTTCTGATGAACAGCTGGATCCAGCTTTGCCCTAGTGGGGATTTATATCTGGGTCTGTGACAGCTAACACAAACCCAACCCGATCCTTGGGTGTCTGCATCACTTGTAATTATTTGTCCTATGAATGCTGCACATACATAAGTTCATAGAACAATCACCAAAGCCAGGTGTGGTGGCACACGCCTTTAATCCCAGCATTTGGGAGGCAGAGGCAGGAGGATCTCTATGAGTTCTAGACCATCCAGAGCTATACAGAAAGACACTGTCTCAAAAACCAAACAAAAAACAATCACCAAAAACATCTATTATACCTAGAGGATAAACTGGTATGCATGTTGGACTGGTTAATATCTAATGTAGCATTTAGCAGTAAATTGTCTTTGGATAAGTGACATAAGTACCTACTAAAAATAGCTTCACTACACTAGTTAAAAGTGTTCATAGTAATTTAAAAATTAATTCAATTGAAACACTTCAGTTCCTAAAGAATGAATAACACTAATACTAAAATCACTACATTAAGGGGGTTCTGTGGTTGGATATAAAGTATCCTGCCAAAAAGACTCACTTGTTGAAGGCTTGGTTCTCTAGCTGGTGATGAAATTGAGAGGTGACTGGATCATAAAAGTACTAAATTCATTAATGGGTTAATCCACTGCTGAGTTTGTATGGAATGGGCTATTAATGAAGTAGGCCCTAGCTAGAGGTCACTAACAGCACAACTCTGGATATACACCCTGGCCCTGGCCCCTTCTCATGAAGTGGGCAGCCTGTGTTGCAAGTTCACATTGCTGTGATAGTCTACCTTGTCTCATGCCTAAAACAATAGCAACAGGCTAACCTTTTACTCAAGTCTCTAAGATTATGAGTCAAAATAAATCCTGTTCTTTAACTTTTTTTTTCAGGAATTTGTCACAGTGATAAAACATCTGAATAATACAAGGTTTATTGTTGTGGGATATTTGTACACTGTGTGAAGATGTACTGCTGTGATTGGTCAATAGCTAGGCAGGGTATAAGCAGGACTTCCAAGCAAAGAGAGGAAACAGGAGGTGCAAGATGGAAGAGAGGTAGCGCCATGTGGCAGAACACAGATTAACATAAATGGGTTAATTTAAGATATAAGAGCTAGTTGCGACAAGCCTAGGCTAAAGGCCAAGTTTTCATAATTAATAATAAGTCTCCACTACAAAAGTACTTCTACAATTTGTGTAAAACATTGTGGCTTTATGGTGATACAACTTTAATAATGTATTTAATGGGCTTTGGGGTACCTAATAAACACTACCCTTGTCCAGGTGTGGTGGCACATACTTATAATCCTAGCACTCACAAGGCTGATCTGCCTTGACACATGGCAGTCAAGGCTAAGCACCAAAGGAAAGACAGAGGGAAGGGAGAGAGGGAGGGACTACACTTGACTAATGGTTCTTAAGTAACAAATACAAATGAGGATATAGCCACATGCTCCACTGTGCAGTTGATACACTGTGCAGTTGATAAACTAACCTGATCTTGCTTTTGCAAAACAAGGCCTTTTGTTGTTGTTTTATTTTTTTTTTTTTGTTTTGTTTTCTGAGATAGGTTTTCTGTGTATAACAACCCTGGCTGTCCTGGAACTCACAGAGATCTGCCTGCCTTTGCCTTCCAAATGCTGGGATTAAAGGCATGTGCCACCATGCTCAGCTCTTTTTTGTGTTGCTGCTTTTTGTTTTTGAGGCAGGATGGCACTGTGGGGTCTTGACTGTAGTCTAATTTTCAATAACCCTCCCATTGCTGTCTCTCAAGTGCTGGGATTACAGGTGTGGACAGTAATGTTCCACTTCGGTATCTGACTGTTAGGTAATCACCTTGGATGATCAATCAGTTTCTTAGAGGCGGCTAGCTGGTATCTTGTATTGTTTATCACCTGAAATTATGGATTTAATCTTATTGTTTGTGCTTAATTTTCTCATCTCTTAAAATCAGTAGTATAGTGTTAGGGCTATAGCTCAGTGGTAGAGTATTTGCTTTGCATGTACAAGGCCTTGGGATTAATCCCAGCACCACCCTCCTTCATTACTGTGCGTGCCCCACCCTCATCAGTTTAATTCTGTGCATTCTGTGTGGTTGAATGATAATGGCCCCAGGGGCTCATGTATTTGCATACTTGGTCCCAGCTGGTGAAACTGTTTGGGAAGGATTAGGAGTTGTGGTCTTGTTGGAGGAGGTGTGTCACTAGGGGTCAAGTGAAGTTTCAAAAGCCCATGGCATTCCCAGTTAGCTATCTCTGCTTCATGACTGTGGATCAAGACTTAAGACTCTCAGCTACTGCTCCAGCACCATGCCTGCCTACAAGCTGCCATGCTCCCTTCCATGATGGTCATAGACTCTAATCCTCTGCAACTGTAAGCTCCAATAAACTCTTTCTTCTATAAGCTGCCTTGATCATAGTCTCTTATCACAGAAATAGAAAAGCAACTCAGACAATTCTATGTCTATTTAAAAAAATGGGAAGTAAAAAAGAGTAAAATTCTATCAAGTCAAAAAATTGTATCATTATCTCAATCAAGACTTACAACATGTGATAATCCTTCAAGAAGCCCACAGCCATATTCTTAGGGGTATCTTTCTGAGTGCTATTCTTTCTCCCTTAGTCCTAGTGCTTGAAATATATATTAAAGGTCTTTTAATAAACTCCAACCCTACTTAAAAAATGTCACAACAAACTTGAAAGGTATTTAGGGACCACAGAACCAGCCACATGTGGACAAGCAAACTGAGGATCAATGACTTACCAAAGAGAATGAGAACAAAGAATCCAGGTCTCTCGTAAATAACTTTTAAATCAATAAACACACTAACTGGTAAAGCATAGAACTTATGATATTGAGGACAGAAATCACATTTATTAAGATTAATAACTTGCTGGGCGGTGGTGGTGCACGCCTTTAATCCCAGCACTCAGGAGGCAGAGCCAGGCGGATCTCTGTGAGTTCGAGGCCAGCCTGGTCTACAAAGTGAGTTCCAGGAAAGGCGCAAAACTACAGAGAAACCCTGTCTCGAAAAACCAAAAAAAAAAAAAAAAAAGAAAAAAAGATTAATAACTTACTAATGGAATGATGAAACTTTGTGTCAGTTCCAAAAAATAGCGTCGGAGAATAACACTTTGAGCCTCAGAAGGACGTTTCTGCTGTACACCCTTGAGAGAAGACAGAAGCCGTATGTTAGTGTTCAGGAATGTAAGATAATGACCAAGTCCAACTGCTTTGTAAACAGGCATTTAAATTTAATACCAATCAACAACCAATAAAAAAAAAAAAAACAAAAACGCTAGAATGTTACAGAAAAATAACTTAATTAGAAGTTCATTTTGTAAAACTCTGTAAAAGGAAGTTTTAGCTAGAGGCTAGGGAGTCGGGGTGGAGAGGGGAAGGCTGACCTTTCTGTAACTGTACTAAGTTACAGCTGGATAGCAGCAGGCAGTTTTGGTATGTTACTATTGTACAGTAGGTGACCACAGAACAATTACATACTACATATCTCAAAAACATAAAAGAAAGGATTTTAAATGTGTTACCACAAAAAAATTATAAATGTTTGAAGAAATGGATACATTTAACCAGCCTTAAACATTACAGAATGTATATATATCATAGTACTGTACTGATACATTTAATCACTCAAACATAAATTTGAGACCCTATAGATTTATTAATATCATTTATCCCATACTTAAGAGCATCAGTTCACAGTGGAAATAATCTTTATTTTGCATATGCTGTATTAATACAACTGACATCTTTAAAAAATACCTTCTCTTACTGTTAGATGCTACTGACAATTTACAACAATGTCTAAGTTTCCAGACTGACTTGTTTTTCTATAGCTACAGAACCAATACTCAAGTCTATGGCTACTGCTGCATTGGTGTCTTGATTATGTGTGTATGCACCTTACCAACTAAGCCATCTCTGCAGCTCCTGGTCTTCTGATTTTTTTCAATTAAAAATTTTTATTACCCTTATTTGTGTATATGGGTGCATGTGCATATATGTGCCAAGGAGTGCTTGTATAGCTCAGAGGACAGCTTGCAGGAGTCAGTTCTCTCTTTCTCCCATGTGGCTCCTGGGACTGAACTCAGGTTTATGCATTTATTTTGCATGCAGCAGTATGTGTGTATGATTTGGGAGGTGGGAAGTGGCACACATGGACAACAGCAAAGTATGTGGAGTTAGCTTTCTCCTCTCTCTGACATCAGATGGGTCCCAGAGATTAAACTCAGGCTGGCAGCTTGGCAGCCGACACCTTCACCTCTTGAGCCATCTCGCCAGCACTGTCTACTTATTTTAGAGACACGGACTCCCTGTTTAGCCAGGTTTTTCTAGAACTTATGATCGTCCTTTCTCAGTGGCCTAGTGCTGGCATTACAGGGATGAGCCACGACATCCAGGCCTAAAGCTTGGACTGAAAAGTAATTCAGGGCTGAGGTATGCGAGGCAAAAAACAAAAGTGATTCAGGGCTAGCAAGATGGCTCAGTGAATAAAGGCATTTTTCCCTGGAACTCACATAAAAGGTGGGAAAGAGAATTGACACTACATTACAATGTTTCCCTGACCCCCACCATCACGTAAGCGCGTGCGCACACACACACACACACACACACACACACACAGATTTTTTAATTTTTCAAAGAGAATCCAAGCCAAGGCACGATGGCACAGGCCTATAACATAGTACTTAAAAGGTAGAAGCAGGAAGATTACAAGTTCAAGCCTAGCCTGGTCTTCAGAGTGAGTTCTAAGCAAGCCAGGTGAGATTCTAGGTTAGGGATATACCTCAATGGTAAAGCACTTGCCTGGCATGCATGAGGCCCTGGTTCAACCAGCAGTATTGTTTTTAAGAAGTGAAGTTCTATCTCACATTACTACACATAAAAACAAAAACAATCCCCCCACATACGCACACACATTGCCTAACTAAATACTATAGACCTCAACAAGGAGATTTAAATTAATAATATGAGCAAGCAGTTACCTTCTGGAGTTGTTTTATGATCTCCTCATCTCTGTTTAGATATGGCTTGTAAGAGGTATAAACTCCTAAGAAAAGAAGATAGATAAACAGAAAAACCCAACAACCTAGATGAGTACACACTTCAGATTAATAAAAGTCTGGGCTAGCAGGATGACTCAGCTGGGACAGGTACTTGCTATGCAGGCCTCACTACATGAATTTCATCCAGCCCTGCAATCCATGGAGGAAGGAGAAAAATGACTCCCAAATACTGTAATCTGACCTCCACACATGCACTATGACACTTGCATGCAGACATTCACAAGTATACACAAAATAAAAGTCAGTAATAAAAGTCAATACCAGGTTTAGAATCCAGAGTTTTTAGGTTCTTCAATTTTTTTACTTTAACTTGCTTAGGAATTTCACCTGAAAGAAAAAAACATAAAAACTCTTATAAACTGGGCTGAGGATGTAACTTAATGATAGAATGTTTGCCTGGCATGCTCATCTTTAGCATCATAATACTCTTAGTTACATCATACATGCTATAGGACTCATATTTTGGTTAAAATGTTTTTTCTGTTCAACAAAAACTAAATGCTGGGAGGGAAATAATTTAGAAATAAGTTTCATATTTCTTACAGTCACTAGTTCTGGGTAATAATGAAGATTATTATATAGTAATCTACATGTGCTCTTTTAAAATGAGAAGTGACAAAAACACAGCAGTGCGGCAGGCTTCACTCGGATGCAGGAAACTTCATTAGCTCTAAGACACATCCTGAGCTCCAGTCCTAGTCACTAGTGGAGGAGCGGCAGGTGGGCTTAATCAAAACACACTGTGTGCATTGCATGCACAAAATTCTGAAACAACTGTTTAAAAACATCAAATAGATGCCAGGAAGCTCCATGAAAAGCTCACAAATGTGAGGAAACATACCGCAGTTCTATGATTATAAATATTTGATTTAAAAAGGGTTATTCAGTGTCTGATGTGAATAACAGACCACAAGAAGGGCTTAACATTAGCAGAGTCATCTTAATGCACCTTTGCGTGTTTGCACATAAATCTTCTTGACTTAGAGCAAGTATTTTCTCTTTCCTGTTGTGAAAACACCAAATCCACTTTCTCATTAGAAATGATCAATTTCTAGTTAGAGCCAATATAAACCAGGACTCTTGGTTTTTTCTTCCACAGACGTTATTCTTAGGTTTTATTTTTCCATTTAGTACAAAGTGGATTATTAGGTAAAACACAAAAAGAGCAACCTCTGCATCGGAACTAATTACCTTGCCGTGTTAAAACCAAACACACATTTCTAGGATAATTATAAACTTCTGAGCGTAAGAGACACTCTGTTTTGCCATGTCTTCCCTCTGGGGCCTACAGGAAATGCTCTTCCTGTAATTCTATAGATTCTGTCTGTCTTGAGTTTTCAGAGTCGGAATCCCCATCACAGTTTTATGCTGCACAACTTGTGTAGCATGTGCAGTAGGCCTGGCTTTGAATTCAAGAAGCCAAACTATATGCCCTAAGACAAGACTCATGATTGTAAAGTTAAATCTGATCTCATGAATATGGCTCTAAATCCACAAGAAATAAAGGGAAAAACAGATATAATGAACTTCATCAACACTAAAAAAGCTAGTGCATAAAAGCATCTATCCAAAGAGTAAAAGGTTAGTCCACAGAATGGTTCAAAATTTACAAAGCATGTCTGATAAGACACCAGCACCTAGGCCTTTTTTTTTTTTTCTTTTTTGAGACAAGGTCTCACTGTGAGAATGTGCTAAGAACATCAGGTTGGCCTCAAACTCATAGAGATCTGCTTACCTCTGCCTCCCAATTACTGGGGAGCTAGCATTAAAGACATTGGCTAAAATGTCCAGCTTCCCTATGGTGATTTTTAAGACAAGTTTATCAGTTCATACTATGTCACTAAATGGTTTCTGGCAAAAGTTTCCTACCTCTATCCCTAAGGGAACCTTTTTCATAAAAAGCAAAGTATTGTATTATAGTCAATCAAACAGTCTAGATTAGTAAAAAACCAACCTGATGATAAGTATAAAAATAAAAAACTTAAAAACCTCCCATGTCTTTTGTGAGTAGAGTAACTGCTATTCTCTGAACTATCATTTGTATCTCTCAGCAAACTAATGTATTGACGGTAGCATGACAATGTTAGGGGTATCATTAAATTGACATTTAAATTAAACATCCAATCTCAGAATGCATTTATTCACGTAATCAACACTTACTAACCTAATACTATATGTCTTTTTCTCAAGGAAAGCACAAACCTGTGAGGACTTCCTTAGTCAATACAATGCACCAGGCTACACAACACTTCTCTTAAGATCTACCTGAGAATTTCATGCCAAGTCTGGAATAATTATAGCTTTTTGCTGTTATTTTTGAGACAGAGTTTCTCTATGTTAACAGCCCTGGATGTCCTAGAACTTGCTCTGTAGACCAGTCTGCCCTGCAACTCAGAGATCTGCCTGCCTCTGCCTCCCGAGCACTGGGATTAGAGGCGTGCACCACCACTGTCCAGCCGTTCTGTCCTTATTTTGAGACAGGGTCTCCATTCTATAGCTCATTCTGTCCTGGAACTATGTAGTCCAGGCTGGCTTTGAACTCAAAATTCTCCTGCCTCAGTCTCCAGAGTGCTGGGATTATACACAGGCACTATGACTTCTGGCTATCATTTAGTTTTCTATATAAGACTCTCCTTGAGCAAACTAGAATTCCCAGTTGTATCTGGCTTATAAAATAAAAGGCTCAGTTTCCCTGGGCTTTATAACAATGCTTTTGGGCGAGGGCATATGCCCATTTTAGTGAGAAGCTCTAACTCTCCTCCAAAGGCTCTTCTCTAGGCGATCTCCAAGAATGTTGCCAACAATATAAACAGCAAGAGACAAACACAAGGGGAGATACAAGTAAGTGCCCATCCCATCACACACTGTACACACCAAGTAGACACATTACCTGCAGGTTTAAGATCTCCTATTCGAATAATGTGTGGCCAGTGCTGTAGCGTCTTAGCAAAAAAGGGGTTGGTTACTCCTAAGATGACTGAGGGCCTGGATAAAAATGAGACAAAATAAAAAGGTGCAAAACAAAAAGTTAAAAGAATGTTAAATCACTGAAGAATAAGTGATAGTTTCTGAGTGGACGATATATAGAATATTTTTCCCTTTATGTGGTTTATTACATATCAACATAACAGGTAACATATTCGGTATTAGACACATGAAGATAAAAAGATATGATAGGATTATTTTTATTAGATTTATTTATTTTATTTTGTGTGAGCATTTTGCCTACATGTATGTCAATGCTTCACATGTATGTCTGGGACCCTAGAAGACCAAATGAAGGCATCGGAGGCCCTGGAACTGGAGTTAAGGATGGCTGTGAGTCACCATGTGGGTGCTGGGAACCATATCTGGGTCATCTGCAAGAGCAGCCAGTGCTTTTAACTGTGAGCCATCTCCCCAGCCCCCCCCCCATATGATTCTTAACACAGAATATAGGTATAGAGGTGTACACACTCAATCATGATGCCAACAATTAAAGACACTGAAGAACAAAATGAGAATGAAGTGCACAGTAATCACAAGGAGAACCTATGGTCTGCCAGGGTTTTAAAAGGACAGACTCACCAAAGACACGATACAGACAAGACACGAAAGATGAGTAGTTTTCTGCCAAGTAAACAAGGGAGGTGAGGGCAACACAGAACAGTACATGCCAAGCAATGAGGTGAGGTCAGTCTCTACCCAGAACTACACACATGGTAACAGGTACTTCAGCACTCCTGAGCAGACTGGGGCAGATAACAGTTAAAGAGTCAAGGGCAGCACCGAGCATATACAATTAATATGTTATCTTGGGTTTTGTTTGTTTTGGTCTTTTGAGACAGGGTTTCTCTGTATAGTCCTGGCTGTCCTAGAACTCACTCTGTAGACCAGGCTGGCCTCAAACTCAGAGATCTCCCTGCCTCTGCCTCTGCCTCCTGAGTGCTGGGATTAAAGGTGTGCACCACCACTGCCCAGCTAATGCTATCTCGTAAGCAAAGAGCAGTCACAAAGAATCAAGTGGAGTTATACCACATAAAGGTTATAGATCACTGTAGGTGTACTTTGTAGGATGCCCTGTAAGGAAGGGAGGCCTGGGGGAAAAGCCACAGTGGACAGAGAAAAACTGAAGTCTGAAGAGGGAACTATGGAAAGAAGATGATAAATAGGTGGAGAGATGTTAAGAGTTGTTCTGGGCCATGTTAAGAAGACATAATACTATGTTTTGGACAACTAAGTCAAAACTAATACCATTTATCAAGAAAGTAATAGGAGATTAGACCAAAAAAGAGGGAAATAAAAATAAATCAGTTAAACATGCTTAGTTTCAGATGCATTAACACATATATGTGTGAAATGGGCATTGTGGTATAGGCCTATAATCCCAGCACTTGGGAGGCAAAGGCAGTAGGATCAGTGGTTCAAGATCATCCTAAACTACATTATCAAGTTCAAGGACACCCTAATGTATAAGGCCAGTTCTAGGCCAACAGAGCTAGGGATTGAGATCTCATCTCAAAAAGAAAGAACAGATATACAGGTGTAATATTCTACACCACCAATAACATAGGTCTGGGTGTTGGAGAGATCTAAGGTACAAAGACATATTTCAGTCATTAGTATAGGATCTTTTAAGTTTTTGTTCTATAGTTAGTCCAGAGTGACCTTGAACTCACCTCAGTCTTCCTGCTCAGCCTCTCAGTACTGAGATTACAGGAGTGAACTACCATGACAAGTTAATATAGGTTCTTTAAATTAATTACAATTAATTAAATATTAATTGTATGTGAGAGAACGAGCCCAGGAGAGAGCACAAGAGCATATGGGGGGTGGGGGGGGGAGAGAGAGAGAGAGAGAGAGAGAGGGGCAGAGGAAGAGAGAGAGGGAGAGGAAGAGAGAAATGAAGATGCTCTTGTACCATGGCATGCTGGGGTGGGGATGGTATCAGAGGAGTTTTCAGGAGTTGGTTCTCTCCTTCCACCTTCCTGAAGCAGGGTCTTTCACTGTTTCTGTTGATGCAATGCATAGTCCAGGCTGGCTGGCGCACAAGCTTCCAGGGGTTTCTCCTGTCTCTGCCTCCCAGCTAACTGCAGGAGAGCTTAAACTACAGATGGATGCCACTGGGTCCAGTTGTGTACGTGGATTTTGGGGCTTGAGCCTCAATTGACAGCTTGCATGGCAAGTGCTTTTACCTGCTTAGCCACCTCCTCAGCCTTAGTATAGGGTCGTAACAGAGACCATGGGTGCTGTTAAGGTTATATAGAAAATGATCTGTCTGAAAAAAGAACCCAGAAGACAATCTTTGATAACATCAACATTTAAGGGAAGAGCAGAGAAAGAAGTCTACACATAAGACTAAAATATACCACCAGACAGCCAGGAGACAGGAGGATCAAGATATTCTGAAGATAAGTGTGAAGTAGGTCTTTAATCCTATGAGAGGCTGAGGCATAGGGATCAAAAGTTCAAGGCCAGTCTGGGCTATGTATGGAAACTCTATCTTTAAAATGGCACATCTGCCATTCTCATAGTTGGAAGGTAGCACCAGGAGGCTCAGAAATTCAAGGCTACTCTACAGTACATGAGAGCTATCTCAAAAATTTGTGCAGGCACATGCATGCGTGTACACACACACACACACACACACACACACACACACACACACACACACACACACACGGGCAACGGAGTTCTTGTTCATTACCTCAAGCAATGAGCATAAAAAATGTTTACGAATATTAAGAAGTTAGCCTCAGGTTTGGAGGGATGGCTCAGAGGTTAAGAGCACTGTCTGCCCTTTCAGAGCACTCAGGTTCATTTCTCAGCACCCACATGGCAGCTCACAACCATCTGTAACCATTAGTTCCAGGGGATCTAATGCCCTCTGGCCTCCATGAGCACTGCACACACATGGTGCACAGACATCCATGCAAACAAAACACTCATACACATAAGATAAAAATAAATTAAAAAAAAGAAATTCTATCAAAATAAAAAAAAGCATATCTTTAATGTCAGCACTTGGGAGGCAGAGGCAGGTAGATTTCTGTGAGTTTGAGGCCAGCCTACCTGGTCTACAAGGTGTCCTGTTCCAGGACAGCCAGGGCTATACAGAGAAATCCTCTCTCAACAAAACCAAACCAAACCAAAACAAACAAACAAGCCCCCAAAAAACAGGAAGTTTGCCTGCAACAGATACTGTGACGTTAACAGAAAATCAAGAAGTAAAGAAAGTAAATGGAAATTATTTTTTTCCTTTAAAACTTTAGCTAAGAAAAGAAGATAAGCAATTATAAAACAAGAGTTAAAATGGAAAGAATATGATCATTTTCCCTTCCATAGATCAGAAGAATTTTTCATAAAAGTAAAAATCTGAGGTACAGTTGTGTAATTGTTAATAACAACACAGATTCTATTAAGTAAAATCTCTTAAAGAAAGTTACTAACTCTTCAAATCTTAAATTATTACCAACAGCTCCCCAAACCTTTTATAAAATCAATTTGTCCGTAAGTCAAAATTTTAAATTAAAAATTTATTACACAACAAAATGTATTATACAATTCTACAAAATGTTGGAAATAAAGGTACTACTTAGTTAACAAAAGGTACTGTGTTTACTCACGGAGCTTGAGTGCGAGTAGTATATTCTTTGAATTCACTATCATGAATTGTGAAGTAAGGCCGAAAATCGCTAAAGTACTTTAATGGAGAAATACAGCTGTGGAACAGGAAGACACAAAATCAAGGTTCCAATCCATAACTATGATACATCCATATAAACAATATATATCCGATAGACAAATCATTCCAATATTGCCTTTAGGTAAGCACTGATGACTAATATTAATTGGAACCTATCAAGGTCTAACTTCACAAAAGTGGAGAGAGAGAGAGAGAGAGAGAGAGAGAGAGAGAGAGAGAGAGAGAGAGAGAGAGTGAGTGTTATTCAAAGCAGCAGACACATGGTTCTAGCTCTAACTGAACCTGAGTCAATCTTTTCATCCATTCTGAGAAAGCTGTTGCATGGACTGATGCAGTGGGTAGGGGAACATCACAGACTGGAAATACTGAAAGTATCAGCATCGAGAGCCCAATATACTCACTTAACAAGGGCCAGTACAGTTTCTGAAGACTCTGATGGTGACGGTGCCATAACCACCAGGGGCTCTCCCAACAGCACCAACTCCCATAGCATCTGACTATGAAGGAAAACTGGGCAGAAACACCTACAAAGTGTTTACATGGTAGAAATACTTTATTATTTATCCAATTTTGTCTTTCCCAAATAATCATTCTAAGAATTTCACATTGATACAAATTCTTCCTGATACTGAATGTGGCAATATGTAGAGATATAAGTCTCTCAAATATACACACATACATACATACACACATATATATACATACATATATATGTGTGTATGTGTGTATATATATATACACACATACACACATATATATAACCTCAAAGCCAGGTGTGAGGCACACTCTTGTAATACCAGCACTTGGAAGGGAGAAGCAGGAGGATCAGAAGTTCAAGATCATCCTCAGATAGTGATGTCTCAAAAAGGAAAAGAAATAAAAGAAAAAGAAAAAGAAAAACAGAAAACAAAAAACAAAACCAACTTATATATCAGTTTGACTTGTTCCATTTTTTTATAAAATTAGATGCAACACACATAGAACAAATAACAACAATAAAAGCCTATCACCAAATTGTGTTAACAGAGGACAGGCCTATTTTATTAGCAATCCTGTTATATTTTAATTTCTTTTCTAAGTATTTTGAAGGAAACAAAAGAATCTTCAAAGGGACATTTACTGAATGTCCATAACTGAAATTCAGTGCTAGGCTGGGGGCAGTTTTGCACAGAGCATCTGCTTTGCACAGTGCAAGGCCCCGGGTTCAATCTCTAGAACACACACATGCACACATTCTACAAAGAGAAAAGCCAACACTTTAAAAAAAAAAACAAAAAAACGCCAGTGCAGAAGCAGGAAAAGGAAAAGAACAGAAGAAGCAGTTCATCTGTGACTGGTTCTGACGAACTGAGGAGGTAACTACCTTTGCAGCAGCCTAAGAGCGGAAGCCTCTGATATCAGAATGATGACAACAACTCACAGGGGACCGCTACATGACAATTAATTCCTGGACAAACCCTCTTCCAAACAAAGACTGCATTTCTACACAGGCCCTACAGTCAGTGTGGGCAAATAGTGAGGACACAATTCCACTAGTGTGTGTAAGTCAACTTTTACTTATTTAGTTTTCTTTCTTGTTTGGTAACAATTTTTCCCTAGCAGATTAGAGAAGAGAAAAAAATTATTTCTAAACATCATAACCAATTTCACTAGTTAAAAGCACGAACACTCCCCCCAAACGAAAAAAAAAATGTAAGTACAAAAGCATGAGACAAATTTACGAGATAAAAAATAGATGGGTTAATTTAACTAATCAAAACAAAAAGACAAATAAAAATAGGGTCTCTCTTCAACACAACTGAAGGATAAGGCAAAGGAGCTGTTCTTTTTCCTTCCTAAGGGTCTCAAACCTAAAGTAGAACATAGCAGACATCGTTGCCACAAGAGCCTGGTGTGTGTGTGTGTGTGTGTGTGTGTGTGTGTACACGGACGTGCGCACACTCTCTCAAGTGTATAAGTACCTAACAGAAGCAAGTTTAGGTTTATAAAGGTTCACAGCAAAGGGGGTAGTCCATTATGACAGGGAAGGCATGGTGGCTGCAGGTTCCATCTATGGGTAGGAACTGGTGGAAGCTTGGTTTATTAGTTTTCAACAAAGCAGGAAGCTGAGAGTTCAGATGGGGAAGGGATCCAGGCTTGAACTCACTCCCAGTGATTTACTCCCACCAGTCAGGATTCACCTCTTACATGGTTCTAGTCACCCAGAACAGTACCTACCAGCTGAGGCTCCAATGCCTGGGGTGGGGACATTTTACACTCCCACCATAACAGTAGGAGACCACCTGGCACAAGGGGTCAGGACAAGAGGAGGATACCCTCATGGAGGGGTGCCTTAGAGTGGGAAAGCAGAGCAAGGAAGGCGCTCATGTGGCAGGCACCGAGTCAGAACCCGAGCAGAGGAAAGCACGCATTCACTGGAGAGGTGGTCAGGTCGGGTGGCATAGGGTCAATATAAGGAGTCAAAGACTGAACAGGGTAAGGAGGGTCTCCATGTAGAGAGTGGCTAGATGTGGGGTGTCAGAGTCCAATGGAGAAAGGCATGTGCGCAGGATTACAGTGGATATGGTAAATTGTTTACTAGCCAGAGGGTTGATCAAATCAGTAAATAAATTTTAAAAATTGTAAAAGGTAATTTCTCAAGGAAAGGAAATATAAGTATGTAAAAGAAGAAAACAAAAATAAACCCTGTCACATAGCATTGAAATTGAGAACATTTATTGTGACTTTGTGGTTTTTAATATATGTGGATAGAGAAATAAGTACATATATAAAAATTTATGTTTGTGTATCTATTATATATGCATGCATTATCAGACACAAAGAAAGTCTAAAAGCTTTGTGAACTCAGTCAATGGGTCTGCCAGAACTGCTTCCTTCTGAAATTACAGGGTGTGAGGAGGTTAGGAGTAACTATGTGCATCTTATTGTACTAGGAATTACCTCCAAGTATCATCAGGCAGAGTCCTTGACTTGAAGAGACTGTAGTAAGAGAATGCTAGTTTCTTTCAACTGTTTCAGAAACTACCCCTTTAACTCCTATTTCAACTTAAGAGCTAAGAGGATGAGTTCTGTGATTCAGAGGAAACAAAAAGCAAAGGTCCAGTCCACAAACAGTGATGTATGGAACTTGTCCTGGCCTAGTGAAAGCAGGAACATGGGCTTACCCTCAACTGTATCTCTACAACTTCAGGTGTCTTTTAAGATCGCCATCCTTTCTCTCAGAGTCCGAGTGTAAAATATCATTTCAACATAACAAATGCCACTTACATTAGCAAACATGAAATGAAAATGAGGCAGGTATTGTGCAAAAGCCTGTAATGTCAGCAGTTGGGAGGTGAAGACAGGAAGACCAAGTGAGCTGGAGGCCAGACAGGGCTACTGGAGAATCTGTCTCAAAAAACAAAAACCAAAACAAAGAAAGAAAAAGGAAAGCTCTATACACAAAGTACTAGCAAAGGGAAAATATTAATGTAATCCTTAGATATTTTGCCTGAGATTATTTTTCATGGTTTATTTTTTTATTTTTAAAACGACTTATTTATGCTATTTATTTATTTATTTATGCATACATATTTTTATTATGTATGCATGTGTCTGTTCACCACATGCATGCTGGGTGTCCATGGAGGCCAGCAAGGGCATCAGATCCCCTGGAACTGGAGCTATGGATGGTTGTAAGCCACAAGTGGGCACTAGGAATCAAACCTGAGTCCTCTGCAAGAGCAACAAATGCTCTAAACCACTGAGGCAAACTGTCAGTCCCTATGGCTTAGATTTTTCTTTTTTATTTCCTTTTTCCTTCTCCCTCTTCCCCCAGGATAAAAAGATTTAATACTCTCTGAAGTTCAAAGAAAAACTTTCTAGTACATCTAGGCATGATGGCACACATACACTCCTTGCACCTGGGAGACTGAGGCAGGAAGGCTATCCTGTCTCAACAAAACAAAATGAAACCAACCTCACATACACATAAACAACAACAAAACCCACAAAACACCACCACAACAACAAAACTCCACAGAAAACAAAAAGCTAGTAACTGAATTCTGAGTTAATTTATACAAATTCTTCAACTTATCCCTCAATGACTCAAGTATCAAAACTATCAACAATATGTAATCTCTATGTATCTTTTCTGTAGTATTGATTTATTTTATAGATACTCCATCTTTTTATTCAAAGTTAAAACTTTTAAAAATCATAATTTTAAGCCTTATTCATATTTTATTTACAGCAAAATTGAGCCTTGCCAAAGATACAGAAATAGTTCCACTACCTCAAAAAATTCCCTCATTCTCAAGGTCCCTCTCCTTAGGTTTCTGGCCCTGTATTTTGCCTGCCAAAATTATGTAAAGGAAACCATCTATTAAGTAGCTTACAAAAGTCTGACATCTGTAATGAGCATACTGTCTTTGAAAGTCATTTACGCTGTTGTATCTATCAAAGGTTCATTCACTCTATTATTGCTGAGTGGTTTTTTATGTGAATGGGGATTTGAGTTGTATCCTGTTTCAGGCTCTATGAATAAAGTAACTTTTTTATTTCTTGGCCTTTAAAAAGATTTTCATAGTATATATGTATTTTTAAATTTTATTCATTTATTTTATTTTATTTATTTTTTGAAACAGGGTTTCTCTGTAACTGCCCTGGCTGTCCTGGAACTCCCTCTATAGACCAGGCTGGCCTCGAACTCACAGAGATCTGCCTGTCTCTGCCTACAGAGTGCTGGGATTAAAGGGTTGTGCCATCACTACCCAGTTTCATATATATATTTTTTTGGTTTTTCGAGACAGGGTTTCTCTGTGTAGCTTTGCGCCTTTCCTGGAACTCACTTGGTAGCCTAGGCTGGCCTCGAACTCACAGAGATCTGACTGGCTCTGCCTCCCGAGTGCTGGGATTAAAGGCGTGCACCACCGCCGCCACCACCACCACCCGGCTCAGTTTCATATATTTTTATATATGAGTGTTTTGCCTGGGTATATATCTGTACACCAGGTATGCGCCTAGTGCCCGACGAGACTGGATGCCCTGGGACTGGGGTTACCGGAAGTTCTGAGTCACCTGTGGGTGCTGGGAGTTAAACCTGGGACCTCTGGAAGAGCAGCCAGTACTCTTAACCTCTGAGCCATCTCTCTATCCTGATAGAATATGTTTTGATCATATTCTTTCCCCTTCCTCAACTCCTCCCAGATTCTTCTCACCCACCCAACTTTCTGTTCTTTTCTTTCTCAAACAAACAGCCCAGAAAGATTAAAACAAAAACAAAAAACCAAAACAACAACAAACAAACAAACAAAATCACCAAAACAAAACAACAAGAAGAAAGCGTGCAAGTTGTGTTGGCCATCTACTCCTGAGCATAGGCCCTGCCCCAGACTGTGGGTGATTATGACCCATGAACAAAGCAAATTACGATATGCATGTCTCTGTATGCAAGTCTTTGTACAAGCTGTTGTTTCTCTATTTTTCTCTACTGAATTTTAATTAAAGTACAAATCTTGCGAAATTTCAACACAAAATTGAAAATTCAACTTAAAAAAACCCTCAGCTTTTGTAACATCTCCACAATACAACTCTCACACCAAATGAAACAAAAACTATTTGTCATAACCATTGAGTCCCCAACGTATATCTCCATTTTCCTATTTCATCAGATGCAGCTGGGATGGAACACTGGACTTTACCATTAAAATATAACCAGCATTTTCTTCTAGGTTTATTCACATTCTCCATAAATTAATAACAATTATCACAAAATAAAAAGACAAAGTAGTTAATTTTTTTTTATTCTTTACCTGAAAAGATCCACCTCATGAACAGTAGGTAAAATAATAGATGTGTGTGTGTCTGCCTAAAGGATTAAAAGAAAAGAAGAAAATTAGGGGAGATAGCACTAAATTTTACAGAAACTGTTTTTCAGTTTTGTTTTTAAGACAGAGTCTAATGGTGTAGGCTTGGTTGATCTAGAACTCACTGTATAGTCCAGGCTGGCCTTGAACTCACAGATTAGTGCAGGGACTCAGTGTGTGTACCACCATGCTGGTTATCTTAAGCCAAGTATGATACACTATGGTACATGACTGTACTGTAATAGCATCACTGAAAAGCAGAGGCAGAACGGATGCAAGTTCAAGGTCAGCCTCACTAGCAAGTTCTGGCCTGACAGGGCTACACAATGAGATGCCTATTCTGTATTTTTCATGAAAGAGAATGGGTCTTACCAGTCTCCCCTAATACAAAAGATAGGAGAAAAATATGAACACCATGGGTAAGAACCAATCCAATGGCCAGAGGTGAGACCAGGTCACAATTGCAACTCAGCCTACCATTAACACTAGGATCTACGCAACAAGCACAATCAGTTTTCCTGCTGTTCTTGAGCTTTACTCAAAGAACAAAGGGAATGGTAATAGAGTCAAACCAACTGATAAACAGAAACTGCTTTCAGAAAAATAAAAGTTCCGAATCCTTTTGACTGAGTCTTCTAAAATTAGGAGTCTGTTGGCTACCTTTCTAAGAGAAAACCTTTTCCAGAACCAAACCTCCTTTAAAAAGTATTTACAGTCCTTTTGTCCTCACAATTACAACATAAACTCTGGGTTCTCCAGGACCTACTGTGGTAGTAACAACAACAAAAGCCAAGAAATGGTAAAGTTTATCACCAATTAACCAGAAAAGTAGTGGGTGTTTCAGTGTGTTCAGAAATGTGTAATAGGCCCTGAGCCTCCACTGCAGGCGTTTTGGCATCATAGTACCTGCTGAGTTAACTGCGCCATCTGAGTGGTCCCAGGCTTGTCATGACACGTGGGAATCCGGACCTTAAGGACAGAGAGAGAAGGTTATCACCTTCGTCTGTATGAGAAGTGCTCTATCTGGCTGCTAAAAAACACACACTCAGCACGTCTAAAATGCTGTAAACACCAAGTATTTATTTCTGGTTTCAGAACTAACGATATTCATTTTTAGTTACAGCATAAATGGGGAACCAAAGTTTCCAAGTGAACAGAGATCACTAAACTCCAAGAAGCAAATGTGCTGAAAAACAAAGTCAGGACTCCAGCCTCCTAGAGCTTCCTGCTTATCTTTCCAGTTTCTGCTTCATAATATACACACACCCAAACACACCCTCTCAAGCCTGCCAAATTTGTGTATAAATCCCACAGGAAACCATGTGAACTCTCAACTCAGTGCTATCAGTATTATTTTTTATGTTTGCCAAAAGGGTTGGGGGATACAAAACAAGCAAATCTAAAGGAACACCCTGAAGAATAAAGCCAATGTCACAAATACTTGAACTGCAAAGAACCTGAGTACATTCACACAAAATCTGAGAGAAAATTCAATTAAACACAAAACAGTGGGTTGGGAATATAGCTCAGTGGTAAAGCACTTGCCTAGCACTTGTGAGGCCCTGGGTTCAATCCCTGACACATAGAGAGAAAAACAATGAAAAGAAAAAGAAAAAAACCTCACTGTAACAGAATATTCCAAGATAAACATGCTTGGCCTGACGTTAAATGTTAAAGACCATTTAGACCTGAAAACCAATGGTTTTTCTAGTTTATCTTAATTTTCAGCAATTCACACTCAATACAACTGTTCTGTTTCTGCTTACCATCCATACTGCAGAATTTAACATTCCCATGCAAACTCTACAAGGTGCAGTGTCTGATTGGAAGGGCTTGGAATTGTATGAAGGATTTTGTGAAACAGGATAACCTGTGGTGTGCTACTAGATGTCATAGGATGCTAAAAACCAAAACCCATGTGTGAGGTTTCTAGAGAGTTCTTTAAAGGGCAGACAAATGAGTGGTAAGTTGTTACCTTCATTACTACCCCCATGATAGGCAGATGCAATGTTTTCCCTGGCACTGGGGCAGGCCATCGGTCAACATCATTACAAGCTGAAAATGTAACAAAATATTTTCTTAATGGAAGTGGAAAATTAAAATATTTAAAATGGACACTGCAAGTTAAGACTTTTGCAACATGGGAGAAACATATTAGTAATAACAGCAGATAAAGTAAAGTAAAAGTGATGAAATATTTTACTTAGATTTCTTTCAGAAATACTAGGTTCTAGGATATATATATATATGTTAATTGTTCAATGGGAGCGTGAGAAATGGCTCAACAGTTAAAGAGGACTTCCTGCTTTTGCAAATGACCTGAGTTTGGTTTTTGGCACTGATGTTAGGAAACTCACAACCACCTGCAACTCCATCTCCAAGAATCTGATGCCCTTTCTGGTCTCCCCTCAGGTGTACACACACACATACACACACAAAGTGGTGTTTTGCCTTCATGTATGTCTGGGTGAGGGCATCAGATCCCCTAAAACTGGAGTTACAGATAGCTGTGACCTGCCACATGGATGCTGGGAACTGAACCCAAGTCCTCTGGAAGAACAGTCAGTGTTCTTAACCACTGAGCTATTTCTCCAGCCCAATGTTTTTTAATTAAAAGGAAAAACCTGTTGAATGACAAATAGGTTTGAGGCCAGTTTTCTTACGTATTTTTGAACTACTAAAATGCTGCACACTAAGGATTTCTGACCAATAGTACTCCAAGAACTATCAGTTGAAAACTGTATTCCTAACTCTAATAAACATCATTTATGTTGTTATAGTAGATAGGATCACATAGCACTTTTGGTATTTATAGGTAAAGATGCCAGACCAAAAATTTTGTATCTCTCTCATATCATGTAAGTCTTAAATCCTCTTCTGATTCTTTAGACTATCAACTTCCACTTTATTAAAACTCTTTCATTAATTGGAGGTGAAGAGATGGCTCAATTGTTGAGTGCTAACAGATCTACCAAAAGACCAAAGGTTGGTTCCCAGAACCCATGTCAGGCAGCTCACAGCTGCTTGTAACTCTAGCTTTAAGGGATCTGATACTTATGATCTCCAAGGGCACCTGCACACACACACACACACACACACACACACACACACACACACACGGCGGGGGTGGGGGGTGGAGCAGAAAGTCAGTACAGTGCTTGCTGCACAAGCATGAGGAACTGAGTTTGATCCCCAGAACTCATGGAAAAGGCCAGGCATGGGAATGATGCATGGTTGTAATTCAAGCACTGGGGAGGAGAAGGAAGCTCACTGGCCAGTCAGCCGAGCCTTATTAGAAAGCCCCAGGTCTCAGTAAGAGACCCTATTTCAAAAATCAAGATGAACTGCTCCTGAGGAATATCACAAAAGTTTGACCACTGGCTTCCACACACACGCTCACAGATTGGCATGTGCACTTGCAAACACATGCATCTGAACATGTGGATTTGCCCACATGAAGAGATACACTTGCACACAGAATACATAACTAACGTAATATTTAACTTACCTGCTTCCAAGTAAGGTTCATTTTTTTCAAAATACTCTGGTGCTATCTGTTTGAGTACGGTGTGAAAAAAATGAATATAAGGTAGTTTGCTGATCAAAACCAACGACTAAAGAAAGAAAGGGGACAAAAGTTTTTTTAATGCCTAATGATTATAATTTGTTTGCATTTAGTTTTGCATGAACAATTATTAATGAGCTAAAATTCAGCAAAAAAATGTATGGATTTGAAATTAAAAGGTTTTTATAGTACAAGGTTAAAAGAAAATAGAAAGTCATAACTGGGGAACACAAAAAGTTTAATCTTATTAGTATACTTTAAGAACTAAAGGCATATCACAGATGCTCCTGCTCTCAAGTAAACAAGTTCTCCCACAAACAAATATAATGGACAATGTTAAGAGCCAAAGCATAACTGTTAGTTTGAACCGTCAACTTGAGACAATCTATAACTACCTGGGAAGAGAATATCAAGGAGTGACCCTCTGTATCAGGCTGGCCTATGGTTGTAGAGATTAACTTCACGATGCTAAATAAGGCAGAAAGACCCACCTACTGTGGGTGAAACCATTCCCTAGGCAGGGGTCCTGAACTAAGAGTGAAAAGAACAGGCTGAGCAGGCTATGGATGCAATCATATGGGTGCAAGTCGTCAGTGTCTCAAGCTACTGCCACTGTGACCTCTCTACAAAGGTGGACTATACAGAACCCAGAACTAGGACTAATATAAGCTACATAAGCTTGTTTGGGTCAGGGCATTTTATCACAGCAGTAGAAACAAATTAAGATACCCACCTATTGTCGACAACACTGCAATATCAAAAATCAGCCACATGAAGTCTTTCTACTTAAGGAAAGAACAAACTGTGATGCTTGGTCCAAATTCCTATGACTGTTAGTTCTACCGTCCTGCTGTCCTAACCTAGCTACACACTTAAAAACTGCAACTTCGTCGGGTGGTGGTGGTGGTGGTGGTGGTGGTGGTGGTGGTGGTGGTGGTGGTGGTAGTGGTGGTACACACCTTTAATCCCAGCACTCGGGAAGCAGAGCCAGGCAGATCTCTGTGAGTTTGAGGCCAGCCTGGTCTACAGAGCGAGATCCAGGAGAGGTACCAAAACTACACAGAGAAACCCTGTCTTGAAAAAAATTTAAAAAATGCAACTTCTAGTATAACTTTAGATACAAATTACACTGATTTTAAGTGTAGTTCTTTTTCCTTCAAAGATGAGACTTTTTTTTTAAGATTTTATTTTTATTTATGTGTATATGTGTGGGTGTCCACGAAGGCCAGAAGAGGGCTTCAGATCTCCTGGAGTTGGAATTATAGGTAGTTGTAAGCTGTCCAGTGTGGGCGCTGGGAAGTGAACTGGCATCTTCTGCAACAGCAGTAAATACTCTTAACAGTTGAGCCATCTTCAGCCTCCAAATTACTTTCTACCTTTCTATCTAGCATCAATTGATGGGTGCTGAACATCCTGATGACAGATGGAGAAGGTATGTCCTAATAGCTCACGTTAGGCAGGACTGATTCATTTTCCTTTAATTTATGAAAAAGACTGTCATGCAGGTTGGAAGCAATATGGCAAAGGTGTTGCTAATTTTACTTACTGAATCATCGAAAAAAGAAAAAAAAAACCTGTAGGTTTCCTGGGTTGTAAGATCATTACCACTTGTTTATTTTCTCCCTTATTCTCCAATGTCAAAATACAGGAGAACTCTCCCATGTATTAACTGAAACACTACGGCTTATCAGAAGTCTAGTACAGAGACAGCGACAGTACAACAGTTAAAAATTACAAAACATGGGCTGGAGAGATGGCTCAGAGGTTAAGAGCACTGGCTGCCCTTCCAGAGGTCCTGAGTTCAATTCCTAGCAGCCACATGATGACTCACAGCCATCTATAATGAGATCTGGTGCCCTCTTCTGGCAGGCAGGCAGAACACTGTATACATAGTAAATAAATTAAAAAACAAAACTACAAAACATAGTGGCACACCCCTTTAATCTCAGCACCCAGAACAACCAGGGTGTGCATGTGCGTGTGCGTGCGTGCGTGCGTGCGTGTGTGTGTGTGTGTGTGTGTGTGTGTGTGTATCATCAGACCCTGTCCAAATAAATAAATAAGAGGAGGCAGGTGCCTATAATCAAAAAAGCACAGGTAAAACATAAAAACCTTAGACATTATTAAGTCTAAATATTCCTACTTTAGGGTGGGGAATTGAGGCAGGGTCTCATGTAGCCCAGGTTGGCCTCAAATTCCTGCTTCTTCTATCTCCACCTCCCAAGTGTTCAGACCATGGGCAGATACCATCAAGTCCAGTCTTCACTTTTCTAATCACAACATAAAAAATACTAATAGTTCATATAAAAATTACCTTCTGAAAGTAGCCTCTTTTAAGAGTTTTATCTCGAACTTGTCGAAAATACACATATCCATAAAAATATGCAGGATCTTTCTATGAAAGAACAAATAAAAATTGTATGTGTGTATGTACATATGTATATACATATGTATAGATATCCTTTAACAGTACCACTGGACTTCCTTAATAACCCAAGTCAATATGTGAGCAACACACAAAAGCTAGTCATACATTCCTACCAACAAACAAAATTCAGGAGACTAAAGAACCTGTCAACTTGCCCAAAGATTAAAACCGTAGCCTAAGAACTAGAGACGGGATTTCCTCTAGGAGCCCGTTAGCTTATGTTCTTTATTCACATCTAAGCCAGCAAACTATAATCAGAAAACCATCAATTTCAGTATTTTCCCCAATGCTACATTGTTTCTTAGATTTTGCAGTAAATACCTACAGTTATAATAAAATCTGAGGTACTGGCACAGGAAGACTCAAGTATGACTGTATTTACTGTATAATGTCACTCCACCTGCACATCTCAATAGATCACAACAAGCAAAGCTCCTCACCCTGCTAATCGACTTTTATAATTGACAATGGCATCATTTCCAGAATAGTAACTTCAGAGTAATTTCACTCACATACTGAATCCTTACCATTTAGTCTTTCTTTGAGAAACCCAGATAGATAATGGAGTAGCCCCCCGAAAAGGCACACAATAATGAAATGTTGTCAAAGGTGACTGAATATACTAGCTCTACAGCAACAAGTTATAACGTTTCCTCTCACATGGACATTTTTCCAACCTTTAAGTAAACTGGTAAATCTTTGTCAAATTGATCGAGGAGACAGTGCAGGGACACCCTCCTCCCAGAAGACTGCCGGAATCTAAAACAAAACTGGGTGTCTCCAAGACAACCTAATGAAAACAAAAGGGAGAGCCATGAGGACGGCTTCGGGTGACATTTATCCAGTCTCATCAATATTAGAGTGAAAGGTGAAAGGACTGCACAACTAATGTAAACACAGTTCTTCATGTTTAAGAGAAGAAGAGACAGCTTGACATTTCTAGGAATTAGCCAGGAGTAGCAGTGCACACCTTTAATCCTGGTACTTGGGAGGCAGAGGCAGGTGGGTCTCTGGAGTCTGAGGCTGGTCTACAGAGTGAGCTCTAGAACATCAAGAGCTACAGAATGAGACTGTGTCTCAAAAACACAAACAAAATAAATTAAGACTTGCTCAAGGACACCTTGCTAGTTAGAGGGAAAAGCCCATCTTAATTCCTAAGTGTTTCTGCACGCTTTCCTGCTTCATTTCCCAGTGCCACTGCTTTAATTTGTCTGCATATGATCTCGTCTCACAAATATAAATAAACAAAGCTAAACACACACACACACACACACACACACACACACACACACACACACACACACACACACACACACCCCTCTTGTTCAAATCTACGTCTATATGAACTTTTGTTTTTCTGTTTTGATTTTGAGACAAGGTCTCACTATTTGGATGTCCAGAACTCTCTGTGTAGACAAGGCTAGTTTTGAACTCAGCAATCTGCCTGCCTTGACCTCCCAAGTGCTGGGATTAAAGGTGTGTGCCACCATATCCATGTATACAGAAGTTTTTTAAAATCTTTCTGAGCTAGGGTCTCATGTAGCTCAGGCTGGCCTCACCTTGTTATGCAGCAGCCTTGAAGTCCTGATCCTCCTGCCCCTACCTCCCTAGTGCTGTGATTACAGTTAGGCTATCATGCCAATTCTATGTAGTACAGGGCAGTGAACACAGGGACTCTCGCATGCTAAGTAAACACTACATCCACTAAACCACGGCCCCAGTTTCCAAATACAGAAACTCTTAAAAGTAGACAAAGCTGTAGTGTTTTGGGATACATGACCCAGTGATGAAAAAATAATAAGGAAAATATGAAGCCTTTATTCTAACAATCAGTGGCTACATGTGGAGGAGGGAGCCGAGGAGTCACAAGAGGCTTGAGGAGGTTCTAGCAAAGTTATATTAATTGGTCCTATATTTTGTACATTTCACAATGGGAAGCTCCTTTAAAAAATGCATAATATGCAAGATTCAGTAAGAGTCCAAGTAATCAACTTATTATCTTAATCATGTGATTAACAATTAATTTTCAACTTTAATCATTTTAGCAAGCCTCTTAAAATGCAAATTTTAATTAAACTTGTCAGGCAATAATTACTTTAAAAAACCATTAAACTCTAAAATTTAGCTCATTAAAACCCATGCCAGCTGGTGAAACGGCTAACCCAGTACAATGACTTGGCAGGTGAAAGCACTTTATACTCAAGCCTGATGAACATGGCAGTCAGTCCCCAGAACCCACAGATGAAGTAGAGAACTGAGCCCTGACAACTGTCCTCTGGCCTCCACCAATGCATGCCAGCACAGTGGCACATGTGCACCAACGTGTATATGCGCACACATACAAATAGAGCAACAGTTTTTTAAATTATATTAAATTAAAATTTAAATACTTGCAGTAATCACTTAGATTTTTCCCAATATGTTAGAATATAATAATACTCAATATTTTTACAATTACATATGTAACTACTTTTTTATTTTTCTTACATGACATTCTAAATAGGAAAAATAAATGTCACAATTGTTCAATCTTTTCAAAAGCCAGATTAGGTAAGAGAATCTGGGTTCAATTCTCAGCACCCACATGGCAGCTCACAACTGTCTATAACTAAAGTTCCAAGAGATGACACCTTCATATAAACATACATGCAGGCAAACACCAATGCACATAAAATAAAAATAAATAAAATTTAAAAAGCATAGAAGTGTGGAAGTGTAAAAGTATAGAAGTGTAGAAGTGTATTAGCGTAACCTCTACACTAACACCAGTCCATAAACTTGCTACTGACACATGACCAAATAAATATGTAAGTTGAATACACTTAAAAGCTTTTCTAGCAGTCTGATACTAGTGTGGCAAATTTATAGTTATATTTTGTTTTACTGATATTTTTAAATTTCCCTTTTCTGACATTTTGTTTAGCTTGCATTTTACAAAAGACATTTAAAAAAGGCCCTTCAACATAGATACTATAAGCCGTATATTACAGTGTCCTTGCTGCTAAACACAAATACTGTCTGCAAGCCAAGTCTACCCACAAGGAGGACTGTTGTCCTTGAATTCACCACTACTTAAAATTCTATCTGAGACTAAGTTTTTCCTTTGACATGTCTAAAATATGGAGATTACTGTCCTTGAGTATTCAACATGGCTGCATTCAGATGGTGATACTGGTAAATAATGAGGAAAGTCTGGCATGTGTAGCTGAGGGCAAGCACACTTTAAACTCATACTCAGATAAAATGCACTCAAAAGGCAAGAACAAGCCCAAGTATTTTGTTGTTTGTTTTATAAAATCATGAAGATTTAAAGTATACATGAAGGGAATGTTGTAGGATTGGCAAACTAATTCACTATGAATTGTAAAAGCATTTTTCTCCTGTGTAGTTTTCATACAGTCTAAAATGCTATTCTACCTTTTTTTTTTTTTGGAGCGGGGTGGGGTGGGGCGGGGGTGGTATATCATGGAAAGGAAATCTTGATTTATGACTCTTTCCTAAAATCTGCTCTGCTGTGCCAAGACTTCCTTCCACAGCAATAAAAACTATTTTGGAAATTTTAAATCAATCTCAAAGTTGGCACAGTAATTATAACTTCCATTTGCAAGACACAGAGGAAAAACAGTGATTCAGATAACCACCATGGGCTCTGGGATCTGAGATGCTCTCTAGAGCATGCTCGTTAGACTATCAAGATGCTGTTTTCAATATCATTTTCCCAACTTCACTTATATGTTCCAACCATGCTTTGAGTAAAATAAAACATAATTCATTTGATGGGCAGCTTATTAAAAAGACATTTAAAAAATCTGTAGGTCATTCATATGCCTAAACTACTAGAATTTTTATTTACATAGATTTACACTTGAGTTTAAACTTAAAAAAGAAAAAAATGATCCACACAGATACTATTAAATAAGTTATCAAAAAGGCTATCAAGTGTCAGGTTTAGTGGCACACATCTTTAGTCCCATCACTGAGGAGGCAGAGACAGGTGGATCTCTGTGAGTTCAGGCCAGCTTGGTCTACATAGAGAGTTCCAGGGCAGCCAGAGCAGAGGAAACCCTGTTCCTCTCTCACACACACACACACAAAAACAAAACAAACAAAACAAAATAAATCAAGTAGCTCAGTGGTAGAGTTCTTGCCTGGCATGCACAAGATCCTAGGTTCAATTTCCAGTACTACAAATAAAAATTAAATAAATTAAAAAATTTTAAAGGCTGTCAAAATACCATGAAATTAACTTTTTTTAGCCTTGATGTTTGGAGGAGAAGGGAAGTTTATCCTCTAGTTTCTGGGGTTCAGTGGCTAGGATCTGTACATTAAATTGAACAATAAAATATTAACAATAGAAAAGATTTAGTTGTGCATGTGGATAAGCCTTTAATCCTAGCACTTAGGAGGCCAAGGCAGGTGAACCTCTGTTTGAGGTCAGCCTGGTCTACAAAGAGAATTCCAGGACAGTCAAGGCTACACAGAGAGACTCTGTCTCGGAAAACTGGTGGGTGGGTGGGTAGGTGGGTGGGGGAGGATAGAAAAGACTTACTTTCCCATGTTTATGAAAACTTTACAGAAAAAGTTGACACCCCAAAGGAAGTTAGATCTGGGAGCTTACATACAATTTTAGCAGAGATTAAATTCCAGATCCATTAAAAAGCTTGGCCTTCTAGAAGTAATAAACTGTGGGAAGGTAAAAATATATATGAAAAACTATAGGAGTTAAAGATTATTTAGCAAAGTTTGTTTATGATGATTTAAGTCAATGCCATCTCCAGCAAGAGGTAACAATCTTGGGCCAGTAAAATGGCTCAGAGAGTAAAGGCACTTGCTGCCCAAGCCGAGAAACCTGAGACTGACCTGTGGAACCCACTTAAAATGGTAGGAGAGAATGAATTCTATGAAGTTGCCCTCTGACCACGCCCGCCATGTTATATGTGTAACTACACACATCTCACACACACACACACACACACACACACACACACACACACACACACACACACACACACACAGAGAGAGAAAAAAAGAAGCGACCTATGACAGCCAGTTATAGATTGATAAGATATTACACAATCAACTGGGATTCCAATCATAGAAAGTCAATTCATCCTGCAAGCCACACATTTTAGCTCACTTTGAGTGCTAGAAATCCAAACCAACACTTACTACATTCAGCACTGTATATGTAGACTTCATAAGGAAAATGTTAAATGAAATAAGGATAGAGTCAGACAACTTCTCTGTCATGATATCATTATGGACAAAAACCAGTGCTAATCAGTTCAGATCAGGACAAAGGACCTACTTACTAGACTTGACCCACAGTAGTATCTATTTTACTAAGAAACTAGTTTTCTTTCACGTCTCTCACCAAGGCAGAGCTCCACATAATATTGGAGAAAAAACAAACTGCAAGCATTTATGCAGAAAGAAAATTAACAGTAATCTTTCAAATCTCCCAAACCAAATTAATTGGCCTGAACTGTCAGGACATTAGAAATAACCACAAAAGAAAAGGAAACTGGAGTAACTCTGCCTTAAGGGTTCTGTGTGTGGCCTGAGGAACTGAACGTTCTGGTTACTTTAAGTTTATGAAGCTGTTTTAAAAGTAAAACACAGAGGTAGCCTGAGAGACATCAATGATCAGGACCACACAAGCACAGCTCATAGGAACCAGAGAAAGCAAGCTTAATAATAGGAAAATGTGTACATGGTTCTATAAACTAAGCACTATTTCAAGAGCTTTACATGAAGCGGCAACTCATATAAACAAATGCAAATAATTGATGAGAGCAAGTTCACAACTATATTCTTGCTGGTTTGTGAATTTTTAGAATACTGGGAACTAGAGATATCGCTCAGTGGTTAAGAGTGCTTACTGCTCTTTCAGAGGACCAGACTGGCTCATAACTGCCTCTAGTTCCAGCTCCAGGGGATCTGCTGACCTCTTTTGGCCTCTGAGAGCACTGTACTCATGTGCACGAACCCACATTCAGCTATACACACATTTAAAAAAATTTTTTTTTACTGCCTTTGCACAGTTCCAGGCAAATTCCTCTAAGTGCTGAACTGAAAATAAACTATACACTTTAAGTTACCAAATATACTATCCTATCTTTATTTTAGAATTTATTGCTCTTCATGTTTTATCTCATTATGCTTTAACAGTTACTTTAAGAGCTGAAAAAAGTGAAATCAACAACGTATCATTAAACAAAAACTCAAAATCATTGATGTGTTGAGCTAAAACTGAGTATGCATTCCAATGTGCCATATTGGCATCTTGTCATATATGAAGACTATAACCCATATTAGTACAAGATTCAAGAGAAACATTATATGATAAATAGTCACCTGAATTTGAGTCTGGAAAGGACAAATAGCAAATATTGGTTTTCTGAAAAAGAAAACAAGAGCTATCACTGCTGGCATACACACACTCCAATAAAAACAAGCAAAATATAACAGTAGACTCTACAGAGAAACATATTCACTTACTTCTTTATCAGTAAGTTTGGAATGTTGAGGATAAATTACCTGGAAGAAAAAGGTTAAATTACGTCAGCATACAATGGGAACTTCTAAAATTCTAGCAGGCTGTGGCCAAAAAGTTCTTAATAAATCACAGCTGATGCTGGGATGTCATCTATAGTCACAGCTCCTTGCGAGGCTGAGTAAAGAGGATACCTTGAGCCTGCTAGTTCCAGGACAGCCCAGAAAACATGGTCAGACTGTCTCAAACAGAAATAAATATTTTTTAGTAAGAAAATAAAAAAGAAAGTAAAACTTATATTAGTTTAAAAATTATATCAAAATCATCTCTAAGACTGGTGAAATCTAAACTCATTCTTTCTGTTTGAAATTTAAAATGGAAAGAAAACATAATCCATATTTCAACTCATACCTGTTCAAGAAATAATACTTTTCAGTTGATTCCATGAGTACTATATATCAAATACTTAAGAGAAAAATGACAAGGAAAAAATTACCTGAAATTTAAAAAGTCTCTATCATAAAGCCTATCCTAACCACATACCCCTCACTCCTTTAAATACCCATGAAGTATTTTCCTAGTTTAGTACCTGCAGTGGCTATACAAGTTCACACCAGAACCGGCAACAGTCAACAGAAGACTCAAGAGCATTCATCCTGCAGATCAACCACTTCCACGAGTGATTAAAAAGCAGGTTCTAGCGTGGTGTGGCGGCACAAGCTTATAATCTCAACCTGCATGAGGCTGAGGCAGGGTTTGAGACTAGCCTGGACTGCATACTAAGTTTCAGGGCAGGTTGGGCTACAGCACAACTCAGTCTCACAAAAGTTCTAGAAAGAAGAAGAAAAAAAAAAACAAACCCTTATCTCCTCAAGAAAGTAAGCATTCAATACTTCAGCACTTCTTTCTAGCTTCTTGTTTTTGTTCTGAGACAGAACCTCATATATCCCACACCAAGCTGTCTGAGATTGAGAGGCCCACAAATGTATACATAGACCCACAATTTAATATTTCCTATATACTAGGTATTATGACTCAGAGGTTTGTTCTTGGTTGTTTTGGCTCTTTTGCTCTTTGGGGGCCCACCACATAGCTCTCATATAAATCACACACACAGAGGCTTATTCTTAATTATAAATGCCCAGCCTTAGCTTGGCTTATTGCTAGCCAGCTGTCCTTAAATTATCCCATCTTTTGCCTCTGGGCTTTTATCTTTCTCTATTCCTGTATACCTTTTCTTTCCTTCTTACTTCATGTCTGGCTGTGAAGCTGGGTGGTTGGGTAGCTGGCCCCTAAAGTCGTCCTTCTTCTCTGCCAACTTCTTTCTTCCCCAGATCTCTCCTTCTATATGTTGTCTCTGCCTGCCAGCCCCACCTATTTCTCTCTCCTGCCTCACTATTGGCCGTTCAGCTCTTTATTAAACTATCAGGTGTTTTAGACAGGTACAGTAACACAGCTTCAGAGTTAAACAAATACAACATAAACAAAAGTAACACACCTTAAAATAATATTCTACCACAGAAGTCTATAAAATTTCCAGTTTAAAGTAGTTTGTAATTTAGTTTTTGTTGTTGTTTTGTTTGAGACAGCTTTTTGATATGTAGTCAAGGATGGTCTTGACCCCCTGACCTTCTGGCCTATGCTTCTCGAGTGCTGGGATTACAGATGTGAACTGCCATGCCTGGTTTTGTTTTGTTTTGTTGAGAATTTGGAGGCTTTGTTTTCAGTTGGTTTGTTGTTGTTGTTCTTTGAGAGAGGATTTTATGCTATAGCCCAAGCTGGCCTCAAACTCAAAGCAGCCCTCCTGTCTCAGTCTTCAAGTGCTAGGATTACAGGCATATATCATTACACTGCCCTTCTTTAATTTTAATTTTAAAAATCCCTGTTGTCTAAATTGTACCATATGGTTTATATTTTGAAATTTTATCAGGTTATTTATTTATTTATTTATTTAGCATGTTTGAGGTCCTTGGTTTTATTTCCCAACATCACAGTAAAGTTTAACAGTAATATGTATTTGTTTTAAAGTATATTAGGGAGCAAATTCCAACACTAAAAAGTCAAAATGGAGCAGAAGATGTCAGTCTACTCAGCCTTTTTCATCAGTATTGTCTGCTCCCCAGTAATGACACAGAGACTTACTATTAATTATGAAAGTTTGGTCAATAGCTTAGGCTTGCTTCTAAGTAGCTCTTATAACTTAAATTAACCCATTTCTATTAATTTACTTTCTGCCTCATGGCTTTATTACCTCATCTCCATAATGTCCATCCTGCTTGTTCTGCATCTCCTGGCATCTCCACCTTTTTCTTCCCAGAACTCTCTCTGTCCAGAAGTCCCACCTGTACCTCCTGCCTAGTTATTGGCCAATTAGCTTCTTATTAAACCAATCACAGTGACACATCTTCACACAGTGTAAAGGAATGTTCCACAACAACCCTGGGTTTGATCTCCGGAACCACATCAACTTAGCACAGTGGCACATGCTTATAATCCTAGAATTCTAGGGACAGAGACAAGAGGATAAGAACAGAAAGCCAAGGTCAAAGTCTTCCTTGGTAACAAGAGTTCAAGGTCATCTTCAGATACCTGAAAAATTGTCTCAAAAAAAAAAGGAGTAGCATAAATACAAATGCTAAATTTTAAAAAAAGTGAGATAAAGAATTCTCTCGCTCTCTCTTTTTTAAAGATTTATTTATTATGTATACAGTATGCCTGCAGGCCAGAAGAGGGCACCAGATCTCATTATTGATGGTTGTGAGCTACCATGTGGTTGCTGGAATTGAACTCAGGACCTCTGGGAGAGCAGCCAGTGCTCTTAACCTCTGAGCCATCTCTCCAGCCCAGGCTGAAGAATTCTGTTAAAGAAAAACATTATTGCGCCTGGCAATAGTGGTACACGCCTTTAATCCCAGTACTGGGAGGCAGAGGCAGGTGGATCTCTGCAAGTTTGAGGTCAGCCTGGTCTACAGAGCAAGTTCCAGGATAGCCAGGGCTGTTACACAAAGAAAGCCTGTCTCGAAAAAGAAAAGAAAAAAAGAAAAAGAAAAGAAAAACATTACTGTAAATATGACCAGAAATCATTGGAATTAAGGAAACAATGTCTTCAATTTTTTAGTACTTACTTTCTTCTAATATTTTAAGAGCTTTTTCTAATTTAATTATGAAATTGATTTGTTTTCAAATTTCACTACTCTTTGCTTCCAACAACACCTTTCCCACTGCAGCTCGGTGTGTGAATACTTGTCAGCATGTAGATGGCTTTGGGTCCTGTGCTTAGCTTCAAAGTAAGAAAAGAAGTACATACATACATTCTTAACTATTTCCCATTGATAAAACGATACTCTGCTGTGTTGCTTCTAATAACTTTACCTGCTGTTCATATTTTACATTATTTTAATCAATCTACAGAGAAAGAGAAGCGTGGTGAAAAACCAACTCTTAAAAACATTGTTTAACTGGTAAATTTAATTGTGCTTTGGGTCACATTTAATTTTGGATTTTGAAACAGTATTCATCAATAAATTGTTTCCTCAACTAGGTCTGGTGTCACGGGTCTATAATCAGAACTACTTGAGAAGTTAAGGCAGGAGGATTTTAAGTTCAAGACCGGCCTTTACTACAGAGAGAGTTCAAGGTCACTCTGGGCAATTGAGTGAGACATGTCTCAAAATAAAAAGTAAAGAGGGGTGGGGCTGTAGCTTGAGAGGTACAGTGTTTGCCTACTATTGGTTGAGGCCAATACAAACAAACAAACAAAACTATTTTCTTATGCCATCTTAGGCTAAGCTTTTGTCACTTTCAGCAATAAAAACAAAAACAAAAAAATCATGTTTAATTTTTCCCTAAATGGGAATTTGTAAAAGAATTGTCTTGTTTTATTTACTACTGTCATTAAACTTCGACATCTCTAGCCAGAGTAGACACTTAAAAAACAAAATAAAACAACAGCTTTGCTCCACCAGAGGATACACTCTCAAATCAGTTCTATTAAACCAGTAGTATTTAATATATAATTTTTATATCTACACAAGTCTCCCTTTCTTCATGTTCAAATTATTTCACTTGCAATTTTTAAAGCAGAAATAACACCTAAAAGCCATTACTACTATGTTCTATTTAAGTCATGGTTTATGTAAATCTCATTACAAGCTGGGGGAATTGGTATGTGCCTGGAATCTCAGTACTTGAAAAGCCCAGGAAGGAAGATTTTAAGGTCATCCTGGACTATATATAGATTCCAAGCCAACCTGGATAACACAGTGAGACTGGCTCAAAAAAAAACCAAAATAATCTGATTATAGCTAAATTAATCTAGAGTTTGCTGGGCCCAATCATGTTGGCAAATTTAGTGGTCTATAACAACTTATCTTCAACAACTCTACAATCAGTTTTATGGGACTATCCTTTCAATGTTTATTTAATACACACACACAAATAAATAAAAGTGTTTTAAAAATTAAAGTACAGGAGAACATCATGGGTTAACTGTATTAGAGTCTTCTGAGTTACAACTAAAGGAGTGTGATTACACGACAAGACAGAAATAAGGACTAAGTGTGACAACAAAAACATTTCTCAGAAAAAATATTCATATATATCCATATGTTCATATATATATATATATATATATATATATATATATATATATATATATATATGAACTGCCTCATTTTATTTACTACTCTGTCTTTACACAGAATGTGTGTGTGTGTGTGTGGGTGATATATATTACATCCCTAGCCAAAAAGTGGTTTTAAATGAACTATTTCTACAGAAGGAGGTGTATCTGCTATGACCCTACCCACCTACCTTCTCTCACCCCAGGAAAAGCAATGAATACAGCACATCACCAAATGATAAACTACTTAAAACATTTGGAGATACTTTTTTTGTAACTTGGTCCCACAGTTCTCAAGTATGACCTTTGTAGATGACAAGGCTACACTGTATTACCAAAAGGCTGAACACACCTAACAGATGAAACCTGAAAACATACAAAGTGAAAACAGACAGAAAAGGCCATGTGTGTGATTTCATTTAT